TTTGAGGATTTTAAGAAGTTTAAAAGGCCTTAAATTCCTTAAAATCCTTAAAATTTTGAAAGGCCCGGGCTTTCAAAATTTTAAGGATTTTAAGGATTTTAAGGATTTTTAAAATTTTAAATGGGCCTGCCTCTTTCCGGAAAATGATTTAATTTTCTTTCAAAATTTTAAGGATTTTAAGATTTTAAGAAATTTAAAAGGCCTTAAATTCCTTAAAATCCTTAAAATTTTGAAAGGCCCGGGCTTTCAAAATTTTAAGGATTTTAAGGATTTTAAGGATTTTAAAATTTTAAATGGGCCTGCCTCTTTCCGGAAAATAATTTAATTTTCTTTCAAAATTTTAAGGATTTTAAGGATTTTAAGAAATTTAAAAGGCCTTAAATTCCTTAAAATCCTTAAACTTTTGAAAGGTCCGGGCTTTCAAAATTTTAAGGATTTTGTGGTCCTTTTAAAATTTTGGAAAACCCCTAAATTCCTTAAAATCCTTAAAGTTTTGGAAGGCGAAGCAGGACCGTCAAATAACGCATAAAGGTCCTACATACATACTACTATATTGCAATATGAACGGCTGCGAGGTTCGCAGGGGCTCAGTCGAGGGGACGAGCAGAAGCCTCTTGCGAGAGGGTTTCAACCGCCAGGCTTAGTCGCAAAGGTGGCCTATTTGAAGTAGAATACAAGTGATGGCTCTGAGTGGGGGTTTAGGGTGTAGGGTTCAGGGTTTAGGGTTTAGGGTTTCGGGGTATCCCAGCTTAAGCTGATGTATAACCTGAGCTCCCTGAGCCTTCATGTCATACCAACCCACAGGCCAAATGCACAGTGCTCATGTTGCCAAAGAGTGTCGGGACCTGAAACCCACCATGTCGGGACCTAAAGCCGATTCGGGGGGGGGGGGGGGGGGGGGGATTCCTAAACCCTAAACCCTAAACCCTCAAACCCAAACCCTCAAACCCTAAAACCTGAACCCTAATCCCTAAAACCGAAACACTAAACCGTAAACTCTAAACCCTACACCCTAAACCCTCAACCCTGGGAGGCAATGGGGAGGGGCCATCCTTGTGTTCCGAGCGGCCAAGGCAGCAACAGCCTCGGATCGGAAGGCGTGCACACCCTTTGCCAGGCCCATGAGGGTTGCGGGTGGAGGGTTAAGGGTTTAGGGTTTAGGGATTTAGGGTTTTAGGGTTTAGGGTTTAGGGTTTAGGGTTTGGGGTTTAGGGTTTAAGGTTTAGGGTTTAGGGCTAGGGCTAGGGCTTAATCAGGACCTTCCATAGAGGCAACATAACAACGCCCGAAGTTTGTTGCGAGCGCGGTCAGTCCTCTAAGTCGTCGCCCTGTTGTACTACGGCTCTTGATAAGTATGGCACCCCCAAAGATTGGACCGCACTTATGTCATGTTAGAATACATGCGTACACAGTGTGAAAACATCATGCACCCCAGTGTCTGCACTGACCATGGACTTCAGGTGCAGCAGCACGTGCCAACTCTGAGCGACGAGGAAACGATCTTTCCACACAAAAGGCTGGCGGCTCTTCTCAGGCGCGTTGGCCAACAAAGCCTGAAGAGGATCGAGAAAATGGCCGCCAAGCATTACAACTCTGACGTGTGCCTGGCTTCCTGATGGCGCCGTCATTTACAGATCTGCCCATTTTGTTAAGGCTGCATCAGCCGGATCTCTCTGGGCCAACAGCTTCGCACAAGAGCCATCCTTTTTTGGGGCATATGTGCCGACATGCCACCATGAATGTACTAAACTTGAGGCCCTACTTGAGGTTCGTAGGTACTGAGAACCCCAAGTAAAAGTCTACCTCTAACCTACTTGGAGGCCTTAGCGGGCTTATAATATAAGTGCAGGTGTAATTGGGGGTTAGAAGTACCGCTACACCTCCGAGTGCCCTCAACCCTAAGCCCCCCAAACCCCTAAACCCTAAACCCTAAGCCCCAAATCCCTGGTGAGATGCTGAGACCCCCCAAAGCAGAACCCGCTTCGCCAGGCTTTGCTGGAGCACCCGGCGCTGCTGGCCTCTCGTCTTAGTAAACCTTAGGGTTTAGGGTGTAGGGTGTAGGGTGTAGGGATTAGAGTTTGGGGTTTAGGGTTGCCTGTGCAAAAGGGTTTATTTAGTGTTTAGAGAGTTTAGAGAGTTTAGGGTTTATAGGGTGTATAGGGTTTATCGGGTTCAGGGTTTAGGGTTCAGCCCCACAAGTACTCCCAGGAGTTCATGCTGGCCAAGAACCACATTGGTCAGGTCGGGGCCGTCAAGCACCTCGGCACCCACGTTTTCAGGGTTTGGGCGTCAGCCTCTTCATGAGGCTTATGATGGAGGCTTTGTCCTAAACCCTAAACCCTAAACCCTAAAGTCCCTGTAACCTCCCCCCCCCCCCCCCCCCAACCGCCAGAAGCCCTACCACCCTGAGCCCCAAAAGCCCTGCAACCACTTCTAAACCCCTACTTGGAGGTTCATGGTACTTATAAACCAGTTACCGCTGCACTTATATAACCCACTTTTAAGTCCCGTAAGTACCCTAATATGCTTATAAGCACAGTAATACCTTGGGGACGAAATGAGCCCTAAAATTGGGGGGGGGGGGGGGGGGTCATATACCCTGACTACTACAATTCCTACTAAGGTATATGAACCATAAACCCTTTTAGGGTTCATTTCGTCCCCAAGAACCCTAAACCCTAAACCCTAAACCCTAAACCCTAAACCCTAAACCCTAAACCCTAAACCCTAAACCCTAAACCCTGTACAGTTATAATTGCTCAGCAAGCACCATGAGCCTTCAAGTAGAAGCCCTAAGCCGCCCTCAACTCGAAGGCTCCCGGGCCAAGGACTCACGACCCTAAGCCCCAAACCCCAAACCCCAAACCCTAAACCCCAAACCCTAAACCCTAAACCCCAAACCCTAAACCCCAAACCCTAAACCCTAAACCCTAAACCCCAAACCCTAAACCCTAAACCCCAAACCCTAAACCCTAAACCCGGGCAAAGGAACCCCGGGAGCCCTGTCCGCAGCTGAGGCTCGTCGACCTCCTTCGCGTAAACGTCACGGTGCAGAGGCTCGGGCCATGGCTTCAGGGTCTAGGGGTTTAGGGTTTAGGGTTTGGGGTTTGGGGTTTAGGGTTTAGGGTTAGGGTTCAGGGTTCAGGGAATAGTTGGGGGTTTCCGAAATTAAGGATTAGGGTTTAGGGTTTAGGGTTTAGGGTGCATAGGGTTTATAGGGTTTATAGGGTTTCTAGGGTTTCTAGGGTTTATAGGGTTTATAGGGTTTAAAGGGTTTAGGGTTTAGGATTTAGGGGTACCTTATTGGGGGGTCCTTATTCTAAGGGTATCCTACTATTCGGAGATCTATGTATGGTAAAGCCCCATTTGGGCTCAGATTTCGGGGCTGGTGGGGGGTTTAGGGGTTTAGGGTTTAGGCCTGATACACACTAAACCCAAACCCAGATGCGGAAAGGGGGGGATGCTAAAACGGGGTTTGGGGGAAACACAGAGGGCTGGAGATAAGAACTGCTGGGGACTCCACCGTTCTCCATTGTGGGGTTGGGTCTTGCTCTGGCAGGGTTTTTTCTGGGGTTTATAGGGTTCGTTGGGCTCATAGGGCTTGTAGGGCTTATCTAGGGCATAAGGTTCATAGGGTTCATAGGGGGTGGGTGTAGGGCAGCACGATTCTGCAAATGATGATGCTTTTGGTCCACCTCTTGGTGCTTCGTTTTAGGGGTCTTGCGGGGGCAGCAGGGGGGGGTGATCCAGCTTGCGTAGAAGGTAGCCCCCCCGCCTTGTAGACTCGAGACCCTGAACTCAACATACGCTCGCACCCCCTAAACTCGATCAAAGCCCCCAAACCATGTAGGCTGCTTGCGTTGCCTTTTGCTGGAATCCCAAAACCCTACAAGTGCTGCGGCAAATAGCCTGTGCGTGCTTCAGGGTATGGTCTAAGGGTATGTACCCCTTTTTTATAGTCAGGGCCAAGGTAACTATCCTTAAATATGGAGGGGCCCTAAACTCTGAACCCTAAACCCTAAACCCTGAGCGGGGGGTTGGGGGGGGGGGCAGGATCGATTTGGAGGACAACCCCATCGGCAACGAGTGGGCCAACTATATCTATGTGCTGCGACTTGGGCCACATAGGCAGGTCCGAGGTTCAATCGTCCAAAGGTAGTAACAGGGTCTTTTACTCTGGCTCCCTTACCTTCTTCGCACGTATGCAGAAGTAGGGGTCTTGGGTTGTTTTTGGGGCATGTAATATGTAAGGGATCCCAGTGAAGGGCCCATTCTGGAAATCACCCTAAGCGCTAAAGCCTGAGCAGTTCCGGGCGCCCCGCGGTTTAGGGTTTAGGGTTTAGGGTTTAGGGTTTAGGGTTTAGGGTTTAGGGTTTAGGGTTTAGGGTTTAGGGTTTAGGGTCTAGGGTCTAGGGTTTAGGGTTTAGGGTTTAGGGTTTAGGGTTTAGGGTTTAGGGTTTAGGGTTTAGGGCTCGTCTGGGGCAAGTTCGGTGTTGGCCTAAACCCTTAAACCCTACAACCCCGTAAACCATTCAGGGCTGGGGCAAGGAAGACCCTGCTACACCCCTCAACAACCCAAGAAGGCCCTGAACTCATCACGGGGTGTGCAGAAAGTGAATTCTGAACCTCGATTTTTTGGGGTTTACAGTTCTAGTGTTCAGGGTGTTCAGAGGGGAGGGGAGGGGAGGGGAGGGGTGTTTACGGTTTCAACTGTCATGAGCAACCGCTTTTATTTACGCACGAGCAGAGTTACTTTGGATGTGCCCTATTTTTTGGTTGGGGTGTCGCTCTCTCTCGGTAACGAGATCGGGGCCGAACATCAAACGAGATCATGTTGTAGAAGGAAGAGATTTATACTTGTACTTGTTTACTTGCATATACTGCATACATAATCATTATCTGTACTTATATACATATTTGTATATGTATAACTAAGCCTTTGTTTAGTTATATATACATAGACACCATGTATCTAGTTGTGTGAAGGCGTTCGCTAAACGATGAAGAGTTGGTTTCGCGTAGGCTATTGCTGGCAAAAGCTGCTCGCTGGGAACGGCGGCTGTGCTTTGAACAGCTTAGACTCAGAAGCCTTTGAGGCTCAACCGCTTCGGCCCAGGATGGGGATTGAGGGGACGTGGGGTCTGGCGGGCCTGGAGATTGCTGCCGATCCCAAACGAGATCCAAACGTGATCCAAACGTGATCAAAAAATTGCACGAAGGCAGCTAGGGAAGCCAGAGAGAGGGCCATGGGAGGCACAATCACAAGGATGAGGGTTTAGGAGTTATTGAAACAGGGCTGGAAGGTTTAGGGCCAGTTTTGGAGTGAAGTGTCTCCTGTTTAGTTGCTGTCCACAGAGGCAACAAGAGTACTGGGACACTTCGCAACAACTTGAGCCCTGCTCCCTAAACCCTAACCGTAAACGGGTGGAAATGACGGAGTTGTTCAGAGAAGCACTATGGGTTACCGGGCGAAGGTTAAGGGCAACTATACCACTCACTACACTCGAAGTACTATCTCATACTGAACGAGATCACCCCTTAAGACGACATTGGCCCGGAAGAGGTGTTTTAAGGCAAACGAGATCAGGGGCCGAACATTAAAATAGGCTCATTGCGCCCGCCAGCAAATAAAATCCGACGCTCGTGCTACTTCCCCGGCATGCTTCAAGAGGGCCGGATGCCAAAAAAGCAGAGGTTTGGGGTGTAGGCTGCGTTTCAGGGTGGGCGCCCAAAGCCCGAGGACGAACTTCCGGGGTCTAGAGTTTGGGGCCTTAGGGACGGGAAAGTGTTTCGGCTTTGTACTCACAGTCAGTCCGAAACAGGGATTGTCATAGGGGGGGGGGGGTACTATAATCCCCCATTAAGGACTGTTCGCATAAGGGGAACATCCCCAGTTTGGGGGTTTAAGTCTCCATGTCCCAGCCCCCTTGGCCCATAGCTTGGGATGCTCCACCTTATACTAGCCGTCCTTAACATGGATTCTAGTACCCCCTATTATAGTCGCTACTAGCCTCTGAAGGACTGTAAGTATAGTCCTGAATATGGATGATAGTACCCCCCATTATAATCCCTACTAAGGAGCTGTTCGTGTAGAGTGGGAACATCCCACCCCACCCTAAATTCTAAGCCCTAAACCCTAGGCCTTAAACCCTAAACCCTAAGCCCCTAAGCCCCAGCCCCATGGCCATTGAGGCAAAAGGACCGCTCCGCGACCATGGCGTCAGCACAGGAGCAGGCACAGGCCCAGGCGGCCAGCAAGACGAGGACTTTTAGGGCCAGGGGTTGAGCCAGGCCTTGAAGGGTTAAAGGGTTAAAGGGTTAAAGGTTTAAAAGGTTAAAGGGTTAAAGGGGTTAAAGGGTTAAAGGGTTAAAGGGTTAAAGGGTTAAAGGGGTAAAGGGGTAAAGGGTTAGAGGGTTAAAGGTTACCACTCTAGGGCCAGAGTAGGCCCTGATTCCCTTTTTCTAGGGCTTAGGCTTCCTTACAAGTCCCTTTAAACCAAAAAGCGTACCCGTTTTATTCCAGAGGGTCTCGGAATTTGGGACAGGGTGGAGGGTGGACGGTTGAAGAACGTAGGGCCTCGGGATCGTGGTTCACCCGACCATAGGCCCTAGTCCACGGGATCGAGTTCGATACATTTACTCGGCCCTCTTGTTCATGAATTCTTGGGAGCTGATGGTGGGAGTAGAGGGGCTTCGGGGCTTTCGGTAAGGGCGCAAGTCTCTGATGGAGCCTTGTGAGGCTTTCGGCTTGGACGGCTGGCGCTGCTGTGATAGGGGGAGTTCAACCTACGTTTTGGTAGTAAAATATTAGGTGTTTAGAGCAACAGCCTACACGGGAAGTAGGTTTCGGGTTTTTTTCGGGTGGGGTGTCGGTAGGGTAGGGTAATGGCTTAAGGGCTTGGGTTCCGAGGTTGCCAACGCACTGTGTTCGGGCTAGAAGCAATCTTCAGCATACACCTCTCAGACAGCAGCGGAACGCACGGTTCAACCCTGGACCCTAAACCCCTGGTAGCCTGCACCCTACGTAAACAGATGAAAGCAACCCTAAAACCTCAAACCCTGTTCCCTTTTCACTTCCATACCCAGACTTCTGGGAAGATCCAAAAAGCAGAACCGCCGAATAGTACCCTATACTATACTACCGTGGGGTCATTCTTAGGAGCTTAAACCCTAAACCCTAAACCATCCTCCCAGGGGCCTAGGGATAAGCAGGAGGCCCTTGGAGCAGAGCCACGGTTTAGGGTTTAGGGTTTAGGGTTTAGGGTTTAGGGTTTAGGGTTTAGGGTTTAGGGTTTAGCGTTTAGGGTTTAGGGTTTAGGGTTTAGGGTTTAGGGTTTAGGGTTTAGGGTTTAGGGTTTAGGGCACAGCTGCGTAGGACATCCACTGCGACAATACCCACGCTCACGGTGGAGTTCAGCAAGGAGAGCTTAGACTCCCATATGGCATGGGGGTTTGGGGTTTAGGGGTTTAGGGTTTAGGGGTTTAGGGTTTAGGGTAAAGCCTATGGTCAGGCCAAATTTGCGCTTGTGCCAGAAGCAAGTGGCCAAGCCAAGCGAAACTTTAAACCTGAACGCAAAGCTCTCACACGAAACCTGCAAGCTTATGGTACCCTAAACCCTAAGCTCTAAACCCTAAACCGGATCTGAAGCCTTGAGCCTCGGGGGGGGGGGGGGGGGGGGGGGACTCCCTAGACCCTGGAAAGCAACCAACTCCTTATTGGTTTTAAGAGGGTCATAATCAGGAATCTTTAATGGTTTAGGGCCTAGGGAATCCTTACTGACTTACTGGCTTTAAGAGGGTCAGAATTCGGAATCTTTAAGGGTTTAGGGTTTCGGGTTTAGGGTTTAGGAATCTTGTTCAGAGCCGTTTTAGGGTTTAAGGGCTTAAGGTTCAGGATTTAGGGTTTTATATATAGGGTCTAGGGTTTTAGGGTTTAGGGTTTAGGGCTTTTTGGCATTGTCTTCAAGATTCGAAGAACCATGGAACACGAAAATCGATGCGAAGCATGCCAAAAAGGGGCTCGGTGTGTTGGCGCGGCCCCGAGATAAGCCCTTGAGAATTGAGAGCCTAAGCCATCCTGGCACAACCAGGCTGGTCGGTTGGCTCCTGTGAATGAGGGGGTTTAGGGTTTAGGGTTTAGGGTTTAGGGTTTAGGGTTTAGGGTTTAGGGTTTAGGGTTTAGGGTTTAGGGTTTAGGGTTTAGGGGTCTGTGGTCCGAAACTTCCCGTAAGCACTTAGCAAAGACACATAAAGACACCCTCTTGGAGGTTCATGGGTACTTAAAACCCCAATTATAAGTCTACTTATAACCTACTTAGAGGATGTAGGGGGCTTACAAGTACAGTTATAATTGGGGTTATAAGTACCCCTGAACCTCCAAGTAGAACCCGGAACCCCAAAGCCTGTATAACCCTACGCTCTAAACCATAGTCCTGAATCCCCTGAAGTCACCCAAAACCTGTGGCACCGGGACCCGAAACCTTGTCAACCCTGATGCAAGCCCAAACCCTGAATCTCTACCTTATGACACGTTGAGACCCTTAGGGTTTAGGGTTTAGGGTTTAGGGTTTAGGGTTTAGGGTTTAGGGTTTAGGGTTTAGGGTTTAGGGTTTAGGGTTAAGACCCAAAGTTTCGGTCTGCAAGGCTCAGGAGCTCGGGGTTGAGTGGATAAAACACAGTGTTTAAGGGATTAGGACTCCAAGTTGAGAAGCGCAGCTCTTGTCCCAGCACCAAGTCGCCAGGAGCTCACACGTCTGGGCTCCGTAAGCAACCGCTTGCGTCACAAAAACTCCGAGGACGGGCTCTTTGTTCCCATACCGCCTTGGAATATTTCGTCATACTTGGCGGCGCTTGACTAAAGCTACAATAATGCAGTAATGAAATATTCATATCAGAATAGAAATATAGTAGTATCCTTGGAGTTCCATCGCAAGACGGAGACCCCTAAATCCTAACCCCAAAACGGGGCCCTACTTTTAGATGACCCTCCCGAAACCCCCTGGTCCGGGTACAGAGTTCAAGGCGGGGGCTTCGGAAATCTAAAGCCTAAACCCCAAACTGCATCAAAAAAAACCTAGTCGTGGCAGCTGGTATAACCTCCGAGCTTAACCTCATACCAGACCGAATCATATTGCTTCGCACCCCTTGTGGTTGCATAGTTGAGGAAGGTTCCCGCTTTCCGCTTCGGTTTTTTCCAAACTTGGGCTACTCATCTCGGCTCGGCTGAACACTCTCCCCGTGGAGCGGTCGCTATGCGGGCGGGTGGCAAAAAACCCAAGTCGTGGAGATTCAGGATACTTCTAACCCCAATGAATGGCTGCACTGATCAGCCCCCTAAGTCCTCTAAGTATGTATGAGTAGGCTTCTAATTGGGGTTCTAGCCCTAAACCCAATAATTAAACCCTATACCCTAAACCCTCTGCTTGGGACTTACAAGTGGGGTTACAGGTACCCCTCCTCCGAGTAGTCGTGGAGAGGACATGGTCGAGACCGTGAAGTCTGCCCGGACACCCCGACTGCTCCACTGAGGTGCGCGGAACCCAAAGGGGGCTCAGGGTTCAGAGGTTTCCCACAGAGACCCTACACCCCTTAATTAAGGAATATATACCTTAACTTAAAGAGGGCTTAGGGTTCAGGGGGTTTCCCCCAAAGAGCCCCTATACCCCTTAGTTAAGGAATATGTACCTTAAACTTATCTTAGTATGATCTAAGGTATGTTTCCTAAATTCCAGGGTGTTTTTGGGCTCTTTGGGTAGAAGGTCTAGGGTAGTGAAGAGTTGAGGGTTTATAGTTGATTGCATTGATAGCGAGTGGGGTTTAGGGTTTCAGGTATACCTCAGTAGGGAGCTGTAGTTTCCTAAACCCTAAACCCTAAACCCTAAACCCTAAACCCTAAACCCTAAACCCTAAACCCTAAACCCTAAACCTCAGTAGGAGTAGGGAGCTGTAGGGTTCGGAGTGCTGGGTCCGAAATGGGGGATATTCGGAGGGCCCTTCTTCGTATCTAAGCGAGGTTTGCTGCCTCATGTATGGTACTGCAAGCCCATTTGAGGTAGCACTACAGTCAGGCATTGTTCTGTTCAGGAGGATCTTGTTTAGGAGGTGCTTCGGCGCAACGACACTGTGGCTCTGCGATTCCTCCCGGCCGCCAAGGACTCCGAGGGTGGAGAGAAGCAGTGGCTCGGGTGCCCGACTGAGAGCCCCACTGGCAGGGGGGGCCGGCAGGACCCCTGAAACCTCAAACCCCTCCACACGACTCCTCGAAGTCTTTCAGAGTACAAACCCTAAACCCTAGACCCTATAAGTCTGAATAAAAAAACCAAGGAACCTTAAACAATCCCAAGCCCGTGTCCAGCAGGGTTTAGGGTTTAGGGTTTAGGGTTTAGGGTTTAGGGTTTAGGGTTTAGGGTTTAGGGTTTAGGGTTTAGGGTTTAGGGTTTAGGGTTTAGGGTTTAGGGTTTAGGGTTTAGGGTTTATTATTTATTAGGGTTTAGGGTTTAGGGTGTTTATTGCAGTAGCCCTCAACCTTCAACCCTGCACACCCTAACCCCCCAAAACCCAGACTGTAAGTCACCTAGATGAGGGGTCAAAGTGACTTCCTCAGTATCACGCCAGACTTCATGGACCTGCCAACCGATGCCTTGCCGGCCTTGTGCGAGTGTGAGAGTCGAAACCCCTAAAACACCCTAAACCCCCTAAACCTCCTAAACCCCCTAAACCCCCTAAACCCCCTAAACCCCCTAAACCCCCTAAACCCCCTAAACCCTAAACCCCTTAAGCTCCCGAAAGCTGGCCACCCAAACAAGGAAATCGCCCAAAGTTGGCGGCAATCAGGGGCGCGAACCAGGAAAAAGGCTCGACCCATCCGCCTGCGACAGTGGCATAGGGTTTAGGGGATAAGGTTTAGGGTTTAGGGTTTAGGGTTTTGGGTTTTGGGTTTTGGGTTTAGGGTTTAGGGTTTAGAAAAAAGGGTTGAGGATGAAGGCATGCAAAAAGCCACGTCAGCAGCAAGAGCCAAGAAGCAGGGATCAAACCCGAAACCCTGAGCAAACAGAAAGCTAGCCCTCAACCCTAAACCCGCCTATAGAACCCTAAGCCCTAAACATCAAATACCCCAAGCCCCCAAATACCCCCAAAACTTGCTTTTTTGCTCCTAGGCCAGCAACTCGAGAGGTCCGGTTAGCAGGTTTTTTTTTATATATTTTTATCACGTGCTGAAGATCCCTATATTCCCTCAAAGAAGGCCATAAAATTGGATTCTTATAGGGCCCTGCCTGGTAACCACTAGATTCCTTAAACAAAAACCATAAAACATGAATTATAGCACCTCAAACCTGCCCCAGTTTGGGTTCTGCCGAGGAGGATGATTTCTGCACGGCCAGCGCGAAGCAGCCACTCGGTGAAGAGAGGTTTGTGGGCTTAGGGCTTAGGATTCCTAGCCCTAAACCCTAAACCCCAAAAGCCCTAAACCCTAAACCCCAAAAGCCCAGAACCTTACACCCTGAACCGTTCCAGCCTGAACCTGTGTCGGGTTTAGGGTTTGGGGTTTAGGGCTCTTCGGCTTTTGTTCCTGCCTTTTTCGGGGTTGAGGGTGCGGTTTTAGAAGGTCTACACCGCGCGCAGCAAGTGGTGGGACTTAGGGTCTAGGGCCTAGGGTTCTGACAGAGCCGAGAGAGAGAAGGAGAGAGAGAGAGAGAGCGAGAGAGAGAGCGAGAGAGAGTCGAAGAGAGAGCGAGAAGAGAGATCGAGAAGACAGGGAAGAGGGGGAGAGGGAGAGGGAAAGGGGGACGGGGACAGGGACGGGTTTCGAAGCTTCAGTCTGAGACTAGGAAGCACCCTAAACCCTAAACCCTAAACCCTAAACCCGGTGTTCAAGCGCCCTTTTTGGGTTTATAACGGGCTCGAGCAGAAGCATCATACCATTTGGGTCTATGAGGGGTACCCCCCGATTTTGGGAGACACCCAGGTGGGAGATCTACTATTTCGTGCTGCGCAAAGAAGACGAGGCCGGACCTGTCCAGGTGGCTCTGGTTCTGTTTTCTGGAAGCTTAACCTTCTTCAGTTGCCCGAGTAATATAGGGGTCGGAATAGCTACTCATAGTATTCCCTTAGGGTCCCTCTATAGTTAAATTAGAATAAACCCCCCCCCAAAAAGAAAAAGAACAGAAACTATTCTAAATCTTTCGGCTCCCATGTTCGGGTGTAGGGTTTAACCCCTTTGGTCAAAGGTGGTAAAAGGCCTGTAGTCCTCCTGGACTCATGGTTTGCAGTTTCGGTGATTTTCGGTTCTCGAATGGGCATGTCCCCAAATCGGGGTACCCTAAATATACCCCCCCAAAAATAGAATATTCCTTATAATCGATTTTGTTCAAAAGGGTACCCTCCAATTTCGGAAACTCCCAAATATCGAAACCGCCGTAAACTTCTAGCAGGGGACAAGGGTTTAGGGTTGAGGGTTGATTCAAGGTCTATATGATAGTGCGCGGCAGGCATTTTACGAACGCATCGCCATCGGATGGCTCATGGAGAACACGGCGCTGGGCTCGGAGGCTTTCGGAAGCTTTCCTTCTCTCCCCTTTCAGAAACCTTGAACACACTGAAGCTTGAAACCCTAAGCCCCAAACCTTAAACCCAAAGCCCCGGGCCTGAAAACCTGACGCCCTACGCTAAACTACCACAAGCCTCATCAGCCCTCTTAGCATCGACCATGTCACACTACATCAAGGGAGTCATACTCTGAACCCGAAAAATGTACCCTTGGGTTTGGGGCCCTAAACCCTAAACCCTAAACCCTAAACCCTAAACCATCTCTAACGGAATATGAGGGTCATATTCAGAGTACATTATAAGGGGTTCATCCTCCAGGCTGGGCGCACCTCTGTACCTGAACCGGGTTCGCCATGCGCCAGAAATGAAACCAGGAACCCTTGAGAGGGTTTAGGGTTTAGGGTTTTGGGTTTAGGGTTTAGGGTTAGGGTTTAGGGTTTAGGGTGCAGGGTTCAGGGTTTCGGGTTTAGGGTTTCGGGTTTAGGGTTTTGGGAAACCTTGCAAACCCTGTGGCCAAGGACCTGAAGCTGACCGACACCTTTGCCAAGGACTCGCGCGGGGTGGCTCTAAGTTTCTCCAGCTTCGTGCTTGGGGCTCGTGCGAGGAAGGGTTTACTACCAAACATTCTAATTCATGAGGGCAATACAGGGACACTTGTCCTTCATTTGCTTACAGAACCCCCCCCCCCCCCAAAAAATAAAAATAAAATAAAATAATAGAACACACACACAAGAAATTCTTCCGTCTATAAGGGCAGTAAAAGGATTACTATCCTCTTTTTTTGAAAGGGGGGGGGGGGGGTTCTTAAGCAAAAATAGCAGTTTAGGGTGCTGGGAGGGATTCGGGGTTGAGGGCACTTTGGGAACCCTGGAGCATGTTCTGGCCTTGTCGCCTTAAACCCCAACCCTAAACCCTAAAAACAAATCTGGGCCGGAGATCTTGTTAGGCTTCTGGCTTTCCGGGCAGTTTTGGGCTTTACGGGCGGTACGTTGGGATGCTGCCCTTATACTCATATCTAAGAAATATTCAACATACCCCCCGGGGGTACCCTTGAAAGAAACTAAGGGATGTGGGAATATCCTCCCTTAGACTCCCTCAGGGTTTCCCTTCGTAGGTTAAGGGGTATGGGTTTGGGGTGTGGCGAATCATTCTTAAATCATAGTCTTTATGAAAAGGGATCATCATAGGGGGTACTACCCTAAACCCTAAACCCTGAACCGTAGCCATTTTGGCTCAAGCTGGCAGCTCAAGCATCCACTCAGCCCTGAAAACAGTGCCAGCTGCAATGTCTGTCGTCCTCACTCAAGAGCAGCTACGTGAGCGCATGCAGCGCGCAGACCTGCGCTGGACCATGGTGCGCAAAACCCAGCTTACTGCGGGACTATTGGGGCCGCATGGGCTTGACGTGGCACCTCCTCAAGGCAAACGGTACACGGTGCCAACCTCTGAAGCCTTTCGGCGCTATCATATTTTGGGTGAAGGCTCAGGAGCTCCGCGATGCAGGATTTGCTTTGCTCCAGCCGAAATGCTGCATGGACACGCGTTCTACGTACCATAGACTGGGTAATAGGTTTGTGGGGCCATGGGTAGGGTTTCGGATCGAACGAGCAACAGCGCTCGTATTGCTGAAAACCCCAGTGCTCTATGCCATGGCCCTACACTCGTCGGGAATCAGAGCACGCCCCCTCACTTATTGGATGCAGACCTGCATAGGCATGTGTCAGCTGCAGTCTCATCTCTGCTCGAAGGCCCCATCCCCATTTCATTGAAGGGCTTGCGCGAAACCCTACAGTCGCAGCTACAAGTTGGACTGGAGGCTCGGAAATCCCAAATCAAGAGAATGGCAGAGAGGACTCTTGAGGACTGGGTGAGTGGCCTTAGTTTGGTGCGATTGCCTGAGAAGACGCTCGCTCACCTGCGCAACCCCTACACTGGACAGTGGCAGCCTGGTCCTACTTTTTGCAGAGCGTCTGGCCGGCTGCTGTTCACGGAGTTGCACGATCTGGTCTTTGTCAAGAACGTGACAGGCACAAACACTTGTGTGGAGAAAGGCGACCTGCAAGCAGCGGAGCGGCGTTGCACGGCGTCTTTGAGCAAGAAGAGCCCCGTCTTGCACGACCTGCTAGCTGCCAGCAGCAAGGTGCCCATTGCCAGATGGATGCTCATGAATGGGTTCATGATGGATTGCCCGGCTTTGCTTGGGGGCAAGGTTGGGCCTTCGACCCTGGAGGGTACTGTCAAATAATTGGGCGCTTGCCTGGCTGTTCTGATTCGGAGCATGTGGGACCCAGGTGGCGACGAGCTATGTCGGGCGGAGAAGCGCTGCTTTCGTGGTGATTCATGGAGCGGAGCATTCTGTTCTGACGCAGTTGGGAGACGAATTTAATGTCAGCTTGTCTTCCTGTGACCTGTTCCCCTTCTGCTTACCGATGATCGCCGTTGTGCTTTATGAGCCCTTGGCATGAAATCCTCGGTGCATTCAGAAGTCTTACTTTTTTACTTTGAGGCAGGATGCAACTCTTGGCATACGGTTTTTCTTCAACTTGCTGGCCGGTTTACGATCAGGAGGTTTCCCTGCCTTGCCAGCATGATGTGAGTGTACACTGGGCCGTGTCGGGCTCGCGGAGCTCTGCATGTTCTATTTAGGGCGCGTACTTCCTCTAACCAACTGCAAATCGGAAAATGGGGCCATGGGTGGAGACTCGGATGGAGGCGTTAGCTAGCCCTCTCCAAGGTCACGCTGGGGCACTGGTTGCAGGGTATGGAGCAAGGACAAAAGATTCGTCAACATGTCAACACGGTCGCCCTGCAAGAGCTGGGCCGAGCGCACGAGTGCCCTCCACGCGGGGGCGGGGGCCAGGGATGTGGGGACCTGCAGGGGGTCCTGCTGACGGAAGAGGGGCCAGAGAGGCCATGAGCACGGGGGGGAGACCAGGGGCGGCCGCGCGCACACACAGACATACAGCCCACACAGTCGACGCGCGCAGCGTGCCCCCCCACCACGGCTGCTTGGCGGATCGGCAGTGGAAGCCTCCCAGTATGACTCGGCCCTACTGGAAGCGTCTGTCTGGCCACCCACGCCACAGAGGGGCGTGGCTTTTTCTGAATTCGACAAGCTGGTGTGCTCGCTGGAAGGTGCTGCATGACGGCACGATAGCATGGAAACGGCATGGAATTCGGAGATGGATGCAGGCCCGCCTGGCTTGCATGGGATGACGACACCGGGCCAGAGCATGGAATCCGAAGCGCACGGTTGCAAGACCCCAGCGCCTGGAAAAGGCCGTCCCTGGGGCGAACAAGCTGGCACGCTCGCCGGACGGTCCTGAATGACTGGATGATGCCATGGACTTCGGACCTGCCGGACAACACGGATGGATGTGGGCCCGCCGGGGCGCGATGAGGCACCCTGCATGGCATGCTTGCACTCGAGCAAGACGCGGAATTCTGATGTGCATGGTTGCATGACCCGGCTTGAGCACCCCCCTCTCGGGGACAAGCGTGACAGCTGGGCGATTGAATTCACTGCAACTGCAACGCCGAGATGTTGACCCCCCTTTTGGGGGCACGCATGACAGATGGGCGATGGAATTCCCTGCTACTGCAAAGTCGAGATGTTGGAGGACAGGACAGAGTGTTCAGGGAGGCCCCTGGAATATGAACGAGCCCGTGGCCTGAGAGCTATGTTTCACTTGCTGCCAGCCCCATAGAGATCACGATGCCATAGTCGGGTTCATTGATGGGTGTATACTGTTTCCATCCTGCTTGGGTCTATGCAATCGTGGCCGGGGCCCTTGTATAACTTCGCACCCTCAACTGCCAATGCTTAGTCACACTTTCTGTCATGGCACTTCTTTAGTCCAAGGGGTATGTTGGGTGTATATTGTTCATCATCCTGCTTCGGGCCAAGTAGTGGTTCCTTCCATCGGGGCCCGTCACCTAGTGCCGTTTCTCCGGCTGTCTCCAATGTGATGCAGCTTCTGTCTTGGATTCGTCCGGAGCCTCGCCAGCGTGTGCGCCAGTCTGAGAGTCGAAACCCTGAACCCTAAACCCTAAACCCCATTTTAAGGACTGTTAGTACATGCATAAGGGGGAACATCCCAAGCAGTAGGGTTTTAGGGTGGCCACGTAGGATCCCAAGCTCCTGGGCTATATGCGTCCGGCACTTGGAAGGGCTTGGGGCTTAATTAGGGTTTCAGGGTTTAGGGTTTAGGGTTCAAGGTTGAGGGTTGAGAGTACGTTGTTTCTGGGCTGTGCGGACTGCTTTCCGAGCTTTAAGACTTTAAGAGCTTGCGCCCCGCCTTTCAGGCCTTGTTGCAAAAAGGTTTAGGGTTCAGGGTTACTAGGACCCAGGGTAGTAGAAGGGCCATATTCGGAGTACATGAAGTAGGTTTGTTTTTCTTGTACCCCCAAAAGGACACGCAAGGTATACACTCACCAATATTAAAAAGGAACCTTATATACACTCACCAAAAACAGTAATATAAACCCTGCTTCATATCAAGGGGAACCCCTTACAGGTACAACTTTAGGGGTACGAGTCCCCGCAAAGTCCAACCTGCTAGTCTAAACCCCGAACCCTAAAACCCAAAACCCTAAACAAAACGACTTGCACCGAAGCCCAAAACCCTAACCCGAAACTCCCCCATTCCTGCCCAGATGCTAGACCCAGGAGTTTATCTTAGGAATACAAGGAGCACCCTTTCTGGCTTAAAGGGAGGCTTATAAGGGAACCTCAGTGAATGAGGGCCTTCCTCAAGGATCGTTTATCGTTTAAAAAGGGAGGCTCCCCAAAACCCAAGGGTACCTTTGAACCCTAAACCCTAATCCCTAAACGAACACGCAGCTTGGGGATTGATTTCAAGGTTAACTGAGGTCTGAGCTTGGGGTTTAGGGTTTAGGGTTTAGGGTTTAGGGCCTGTTGCGGATTTAAAGTTTAAACAAGTTCTAGGGTTTGTGGGGTTCGGGGTTTTGCGTTCGGGTTGTTGCGCCTTCAGGGCTTGGGGCTTAAAAGGCTCTGAGCTGCTTTTGGTCCAGAACCCTCAATCCGGGAGCCCCTCTGACATACACTCCCGTTTACCCCCCCCCCCCCCCCCCCCCCTAAACCCTAAACCCCTAAACCCTAAACCCTAAACCCTAAACCCTAGACCCTAGACCCTAAACCCCAACTTCCCAGACAGCCTGCTTAGGCCGCGCCCCTGCAGCCATTCACACCATTGCTTGGAGCCACTGTGCTCCCGGTGCAGGGCCGGGTTGCCGGCGACGAAGAAACCACACCAAGTCTGCTTAAGGCGGCGCTGGAAGCCCCCTGCAAGCCCCTGGAACGCCCACCAGGCGTTCCTGCTCTGGTGTTTAAAGAGCAACGACTTGTGGCCAGATCGCGAAAGTCGCTAGCAAACCGGCATGTAGTGCCCAGTGGGTGTAAGACCGATACCGCGAAGGAACGAAGATGGAAAAGGAACCGACGCGCCCCCCTTGGCTGTTGGGATCTTATTCAACCATTTACACACACACATACACACCCCTGAATTCCTGCATGTGTTGGGGAGCTATTTCCACATGGTAGTTCTTTTTCCTTTCAACCCGAAACGCTAACCCCTAAACCCTAAACCCTAAACCCTAAACATTAAACCGCCTGGACTCCCCACCCCACCCCCCCCCCCCCCCCCCCCCCCCAAACCCTGGCCCCACCAAGGCTTCGGCCGATGCTCTTCCGGCCACTCAGGAGTGCCCAGCTGGTCATCTGCTGACCTGGGCGTCGGGGGCCTGTTTGGCTTAGGGGTTCAGGGTTTAGGGTTTAGGGTTTAGGGGAGGGGGGGCTACTTCGGTTGCAGTGGGCTCGGGGTTGCGAGTGAGGCTGCCCCTTCCTCCCCCTGCAGGCGAGCTGGAGCAGGATGAGTTCATTGAGAAGTCGCTGCCGACACGTTCGAGGGCTTGGGGTTGGGGTTTAGGGTTTAGGAATTAGGGTTTAGGAGTGCAAAACTGACTCCCTCAAGCAACAAGCTCGAAGCTGCAAGCTGCGCGAAGACCTGTGCAGCTCTGGGTAGTAACCTGAGATAGCACCCTTCTTAAACCCAAAAAGGATGTAGGTTGTAGTGTCAGTTTAAACCCCCAAACTCACAAAAGCTACTAATTGCTTAAGATGGCCCACAAAGACAAAACACATTCTTCCTTATAAGGGTGGCATGGGGAATCTCATCTTTTCTTTTTTGGGTGTTCTTATGCAAATTGCAGTCCCAGAGCCCTATAACCTGGAATCCCTAAGCCACAACCCTACAGTCCAAGAGAGGGGACCCATCTCCCCATTCTGCTCAAGCTGACTCAAAGCTCTTTGTAGTTCCTGTGTTGCCCAATTTGTCATAGGGGATTCGAGTTTTCTGCCCCAAAAAGGTGCTACATAGGAGCCTTTAGGAGCCCCTACTATAGATATAAAAAAGGCATATATATATATATATATGCGCGACCCAAAGAGGGGCCCTAATTTAGAGAACCACCCATATGGTTACCCTATACCCTAGACCCTGAAGCCTGCTGCTGCAGAGAGTGCTTGCAGAAACCCTAAACCCTAAACCCCAAACCCCAAACCCCAAACCCCAAACCCCAAACCCTAAACCCTAAACCCTAAACCCTAACCACCCCCCCCCCCCCCCCCGAGTTAACAGAGCTGCGCATCTGCCAGGTTCATGCCGCTCTCCCGGCAGCCGACGTTCGAGCGCCGCGCCTGGGAAGCCCTGGAGTGGCCGTAGACTGAGCCGACTACGCCTCGCGCGTTTGCGGGTTTCGGGTTTAGGGTTTAGGGTTTTGGGTGTAGGGTGTTTAGGGTTTAGGTTGTAGGGTGTTTAGGGTTTAGGGTTTAGGGTTTAGGGTTTAGGGTTGGAGTCGGAGACAACTTCTGTGGGTGCTGTCCGACCCAGGCGAAGTGCGAAGCCTGTTGCAAAAGGGTTTAGGGTTTAGGGCCAGGTAGGCCCTTCGGACATCTAATATTTTCCCTTATTCGGTTTCAGAGGATCATATTTGAAAAAATTTTCAGAGGGGTTTTAAGACCCATCCTAGATTATGAACGTTTGCAAAGTTCTTTGTGTAAACAGCTGGTAAGCTGAGCCTTCGGAAGAGGCCAAACTTTCGATTCACTTGAGAAGCTCTGGGGTCCAAAAGGCACCCGACAGCTTCCCTCCCCCCGCTTCCCCAGAGAGACGAAGCCAAAAACACAACTCGTTCAAAGCCCCCCCCCCCCCCCCCCCAAAAAAAAAAGAACTTTCGCCCAAAACTCCGGACATGAACCCTATACAATTTCTACAAACCCTAACCCTAAACCCTAAGCCCTAAAGCCTAAACCCTAAACCCTAAACCCTAAACCCTAAACCCTAAAGCCTGGCTGTTGGTGCTAAGGTTCCGTGTCATGGACGAAGATGGGCCCGGGGCCTCGGGACTCCCAGATACTTGGGGGTCATGGTACTTATTAACCAAAGAACTTAGGGTTTAAGACTTTACTGTACTTATAGCCTATCAGTACAGCTAGAAGTTACAGCTGTACTGATAGCCAGATTAGGGCACTTAAGGGGCTTATAAGTGGGTTATACGTACAGTCATAATTGATGAATAAGTACCATGAACCTCCAAGCAGCTAGAAGCCTGAAGGTGAGCAGGTGCAACAAACACTTTGGGGGTTTAGGGATTTAGGATTTAGGGATTTAGGGTTTAGGGTTTAGGGTTTAGGGTTCAGCATCCGGGCGCGGACCTCAGAAGCCTGTTGCAAAAAGGGTTCAGCATCTCAAGTCCAAGCATTCATTCGTCAAGCTCGCTGCTACACTGGTATGGAAGATCTGCCTACCCACCCTTTGGATCCAATAAGATTAGGTACCCACCCTTTGGATCACATAAGCTTAGGAGACTCTTTTCGGTTTAATGAACCCTGAACTCTAAACCCTAAACCCTAAACCCCAAACCCCAAACCCCAAACCCCTAAACCCCAAACCCCAAACCCCAAACCCCAACCCCAAGCCAACCCTAAACCCATCAAACTCGCCCCATCCGCCTCGAGGTCCGGCACCATCACCACCTCTGAGATGCTGAACTGCATGCTCGAGAGCGAGGCCCGCAACCCTAAACTCCGACGAGTTAGGGTTTAGGGTTTAGGGTTTAGGGTTTAGGGTTTTGGGTTTAGGGTTTAGGGTTTAGGGTTTAGGGTTTAAGGAGCTAGGACAGCCAGCAATCCGGAGCAAACCCTAAACCCTAAACCCTAAACCCTAAACCCTAAACCCTAAACCCTAAACCCTAACCCCCCCCCCTAAAGGCCTCGGCCCGGAAGTTTCTAGGACAGCTGCAGGCTTTTTGAGGGGACCTCTGGGATGTACAGGGTTCAGGGTTTAGGGTTTAGGGTTTAGGGTTTAGGGTTTAGGGTTTAGGGTTTAGGGTTTAGGGTTTAGGGTTTAGGGTTTAGGGAATTCGTAAGATGTAGGGTTCGGAAAATAGGGGTGATTCTACTTGGTACAAAGTTAAATGGGGTACCCCCCCTAGTTTGGTAAACAGCCCTATCACAAGGAACCCCTAAGCCCCCGAAAGTTTCCTGAGTCCTTGATAAACCCTAAACCCTAAACCCTAAACTGGGAAGGAGCTTCTTCAAGCCGTCATCCGGCACCGGCTCTTTGTGCCTCCCTCAGCTCTCTCCGTGTGGGCTTTTCAACTTCCTCAAACTGCAACTATTTGCTTACCATGCTACTATTTGCTTACGAACCCCAACATAAAATACTAGTCCCTGTATTGCCCTTCTAAGGAATACCTTCTTCTATGATTTGTAGTATTTTTTTTGTTGGGGGGGGGGGGGGGGGGGGGATGGGGGGAAGGTTCTTTGCAAATGGTCGACTGTAGGCACTTTTTGGGGGGCGGTTGTACCTGGAAGGTGCCCCGAACATTCTCCGAGTATGGCCCGTATATTCCCTTAGAGGATCTTCAAAGGTCCCCAAGCCCAAGGGTGTTCTTGAGGGTCCAATAGGCTCGTAGGGCGTATGGCTTTGGGCGTCATGGCCCAGTGTGTATGGCCTTCAGGATCCGGGGAGGGGTTGAGGCTTTAGGGTTTAGGGTTTAGGGCTTAGGGCTTAGGGCTTAGGGCTTAGGGCTTAGGGCTTACGGTCTCGGGGTGTGGGTCCCGGCTGTGGCCTCGATCAGAACGCCTTAGGAGTGTGCTCCGAGCTTCAACAATACCGCAAGGCATTGTTCTGTAGGCCCTCCGGGTAAAACATCCTCGAACCCTAATCCTGCACCTTTAAACCTGAAGCCCAAACCCCAAACCAATCAAAAACTGACACTGGCGAGACCTGTAGAATGGTCACTGGCCGTCCTAACGATACGCACTGTATAAGAACGTCTTTCTACTGCGGGTAAGCCTATTTCCAACGACTGTATTCCAAGAGCTCCCAGTTGCCCTGCCGCTGTTGCGACACTAAACCCTTAATCCTAAACCCTAAACCCCAAACTTGCCCCAAGCCCTAAACCAAAAACCCTAAACCCTAAACTCTAAACCCTAAACCCTAAACCCTAAACCCTAAACCCTAAACCCTAAACCCTAGACCCTAAACCCTAAACCCTAAACCCAACTGGAGGTCGGCACCCTCGCTGGCGGCCCACGCTGTGCACCTACATTTGCTGGTTTTTGCGTTTCTTCAGAGGGAGGTGAGGGTTTAGGGTTTAGGGTTTAGGGTTTAGGGTTTAGGGTTTAGGGTTTAGGGTTTAGGGTTTAGGGTTTAGGGTTTAGGGTTTAGGGTTTAGGGTTTCAGAAGTGACTGAAACAAAGATTTTCCTTGGGGACCAACATGAACCTTAGAATTTGGGGTCATATACCCTATGCAATGATATAATCCTTGTTGAGGCGTACGGACCATAAGCCCTCTTAGGGTTCATTTAGTCTCAAAGGTGAGGGATATTCTCAGAGTCTCGCGGGTTCAGGGGGAGAGTCGCGCCGATAGCTGGGCCTCAGAGCCTAAGTCATACTCTGGTGTTCATGTTGAGATCCCGAACTGAAACCCTAAACCCTGAACCCTGAACCCTGAAGCCCTGAAGCCCTGAAGCCCTGAAGCCCTGAAGCCCTGAAGCCCGAAGTCAACCCTACAAACCCCAGGGCTTGAACCAAGCAAAAGAAAACAAGCCCGGCGGTGCTTCAGCAATATCTTACTTCGCCTTTAGCTGAACTTTACACTTTTTGGGTTTCCTTTTTTAGCAGGAATATTAAAGTTTAACCTTTTTTCCCCTTGGTTATTGGAGAAGTAAGATATAGAGCCCACGCTCCCGAGCAGAAACCCCGGCTTCCCCCGAGGCTCGATGCAGCTGACAGTAGCGGAGCCCGACCCAGAGAAGGAGGGGGAGGTTGCCGCCGGGGCTTGAGGGCTTATGGTTGGGTTTTAGGGTTTAGGGTTTAGGGTTTAGGGTTTAGGGTTTAGGGTTTAGGGGTTTAGGAGTTGAGCAGGCTACCTAACCCCCTCCGTAGCCTTGCACCCCAAGAACTGACAGTCCCTCAACCGCTCCCCTACACACTAAACCCTCAACCCTAAACCCCATGATCTGAAGTCCCTCAACCTTAAGAACCCCAAGTCCCTTTTTCCAAAGTCCCTTAACAAAAGGCGTTAAGATCACCCTAAACTCTAAACCTCACGATCTGAAGTCCCCCAGAACTCTAAGGTCCCCAAGAGCTCGCCGACAATTGAGATCTGCGCTGTTTCTGGATATGTACAAATTTGGGGTTTAGGGTTTGGGGTTTGGGTTTGGGATTTGACGTTTAGGGTTGTATGCTAACCCACTTAAGGCCCCTTTGGGGTGCTTATAGCTCTCCTTTGTACCCTAGACCCTAAACCCTGAGAAAGAAGAAGATCGAAGTCAAGACCCATGATGCTAGCATCGAAATCGCAGAGCAGACGCCTAGAGTCATCACTGTGGAGCTATAACGTGGTGGATGTCCTGACTGGGGCAAGGCCATTGCGAATCCACTCAGATTTGCTTGGCAGGCCATTCCAGGGCTACATAGCGGGCTCTCCTCATGACCTGGTCGAGAAAACTCTTCAGCGACGGTTTAGGGTTTAGGGTTTAGGGTTTAGGGTTTAGGGTTTAGGGTTTAGGGTTTAGGGTTTAGGGTTTAGGGTTTAGGGTTTAGGGTTTAGGGTTTAGGGTCTGTGATGCCAACACTGGCATTGCTTCGGAAAGATGCTACAGGCCAACCTCGACGAGATTCTCGGGCAACCGGGAAGGACACGGTCTTCACTAAGCCCGAAGCAGCCAATGGAGGTCCTGACTACGAGTATAGAATCATCTGGACGGACCAGTGCAACCGCCAGAATGCATTGGCCATGGCCGGCTCCCAACCAGCCATTCTTGGGCTGGCAAAGGGGACGCAAGAACCTTGGCTTTAGAGTCCGAGCCCTCCAGTATTCCGGGAAACCCTAAACCCTGAACCCTAAACCCTAAACCCTAAATGAACCATCTTGGCACAGACAAGACACCCTGAAGTATGACGTCGCCGTCAGACACAAGTATGGCCTCTAAGCCCTAAACCCTAAACCCTAAACCCTACACCCTAAACCCTAAACCCTAAACCCTAAACCCTAAACCCTAAACCCTAAACCCTAAACCCTAAACCCTAAACCCTAAACCCTAAACCCTAAACCCTCCATCCTGGGGAGTATACCTCTAAGGCCGACCTTGAGCCCAGATCACCAGCACTCAAAGCATGCCTTGGGGCCAGTTCGGTATCAGGGTTTAGGGTTTCGGGTTTAGGGTTTAGGGTTTAGGGTTTAGGGCTAGGGTTTAGGGTTTAGGGTATAGGGTTTAGGGGGAACTTGAGGACTTCAGGATCATCCACAATATAGGGGTCAAGTTGAGGGTTTCGGGTGCAGGGTGTCGGGTTGAAAGGGTCGAGATGACCGAATATGGTACCCATGTAGCTATACCATGATAGCCCCCCAAAACCCTATTCTGACTTCCTGAGAAGGGCAGTATAGGGGTTACTATTTTCTTATAGTAGCTATACCATGATAGCTCCCCAAGACCCTATTCTGATTGCTTAAGGCCCTACTAGTAAATACTCTTCCTGATAAGGCTTCTGATAAGGGCAGTATAGGGGTCATTATAGGGGTCATTATTTTCTTCTAGTCTTATAGTAGCTTGGCCAGGTCTTGCTGCACTACGCCAAGGTGCCATGTGTTGCAAGAGGGGTCTTTCTCTTCGTACTGGTCTTTCTGGAGCCTTTCTTCTGTGCTTGGGCTTGGCAGGGGTGGTTGTGTCGGCAAGGGCCGAAGGGGGTGCCTGTACCCCCCAAACCCCAAAACCCCAAAACCCCAAAAAACCCAAAAACACCAAAACCCCAAAACCCCAAACCCCCAAACCCCAAACCCCTAGACCCTAAACCCTAAACTGCATGATTCGATGATGCACCGGCTGTAGGCCTGGGTTCGGAAAACCTTGAACTTGGAGTCGAAGCATTTCTCATGTGTCTAAGCCTTCATAGAACCCTAAACCCCCAAATCCTAAACCCTAAACCCTAAACCCCTAAACCCCCAAACCCCTTTAATCCTAAAGCTTCAGGTTTTTGTCGGGCTCTGAAACCCTCAGACACCAGATGCTTCCTGGTCCGGGGTCGACACTCTCACGTAAGCCGACAACTCAGCCGCAAGTCACCAGGAACGGCGAAATTTTCGACTTCAACCCTAGACCCTAACCCCAAACCCTCTTTTTGCCCCTTACAAAAAGGGGGGACCCGAATGTGGAGAACTACCTCAAAAACCCCAACGGCGGTCAGGTGGGCACCCGTTCTCCGGTCCTGCTGGGAGTTTTCCCGCCGAACGACTTTGTGGGGCGAGATTCCCTCATCAGGCACGCCGGGCCAACTTCGGGAGGGTTTAGGGTTTAGGGTTAGGGTTTAGGGTTTAGGGTTTAGGGTTTAGGGTTTAGGGTTTAGGGTTTAGGGTTTAGGGTTTAGGGTTTAGGGTTGGGATGTTTAGGGTTTAGGGTTTGGGTTTAGGGTTAAGGGGAGCAAGGGGCGTTCGTGCCTGAGGCTTCGGGATCAAAGCGCTTCAGGCCACGGAACCTTCAGATGGTTTAGGGTTTAGGGTTTAGGGTTTAGGGTTTAGGGTTTAGGGTTTAGGGTTTAGGGTTTAGGGTTGAGGTTTCGTGTTCAGTGGCCGGGTGCGTGGACCTCCGGGATTCTTCTATGGGCAGGGCCGTCTTTCTAGGTCGGCCGGCATAGTTGATATTTTCCGGGGTTTACAACGGACCATATAAATGAAACAAAAAAAAAATATATATATATATATATAGAGAGAGAGATATATATATATATATTATGTATATATGTTTCAAGTTGAAAGGCCAACCCAGTTTTTTTGTATACTCGGCAAGCACTACACATGTCCGCGGAGGCATGACCACCTTAACGCACCCGCGAAATCTATATCCTAGTTCTCTGGAGTGACATGCGGAGTTAGGCAGCTTACATTCTCCCATATAAGCCTTGAATACATGTGCAGGGACAACTCTTTCAACCGCATGGCCCTAAACGAGGTGGGAAAACCTTCTCGTGTCCATTATCGATGGCGAGCCCTCACAAGTCTTCGAGGACGATGTGAACGCGCAGGCCAGTAGTATAGGGGCCTTAAGAATTACAACAGGGTTTTGGGGGCTATTAAAGTATATTCATATAGGGGCCATAAGGGAATACGATTAGTAAATTTTCCGACCCCTACATTACACGTTTTTGCATGTTTTTTGGGATTGGTGGTGAGAGCTACTTGTGGAATCAAACTCAGATCTAGTGACAATTCCAGACGGGGCAAACTAGAGAGGAATCATGAAAACGTTGCCATTGCACCCAGGCGCAGGAGACAGCATGGGACTTGCAAGCAGCAAAGCCAGAGGACCTTCCCCAGACGCAACCATCCCCGCCCCAAAACAAAGAGAGCAAACCCGAAACCCTAACCCCTGAACCTAAACCCTAAATACAACCTTCAAAAAGGAAATCCGAAAGACTTTGAGGGTAGGGATTTATGGATTATGGATTCGGGGTTTAGAGAGAGAGGGAGGGAGAGAGAGAGAGAGAGAGCGAGAGAGAGAGAGAGAGTAAGCCAAAGACAAAGAAAGAAAGAATGAAAGAACGAAAGAAAGAAAGATAAAAAGCCCAAAACAAATCAACTCCCTCAGGCTTTAGGGCTTTGAGCCTCCAGGGATGTTTGGGGCTTAGGGTTTAGGGTTTAAGGAAATAGAGGAAATAGAGTTTAGGGTTAGAGTTAAGGGCTTAGGGGAGCCCTGAACCAGGTGGCTGTACGACAGGAAGATGCCACAGGCTGGGGTGCGGGGCTTGTCAACAACCCTAAACCCTAAACCCTAAACCCTAACCCTAAACCCTAAACCCTGAACCCTACCCAAAGGCTCCTATGTAGTAGCTTTTCGGGGTACCATACTAGAATCCACCTATAGCTAACTCAAAAAGGCACTACATCGGAGCCTTCAGGTAAGCCCTAAGCCCTAAACGGGATTTTGGGACGGGTGGTTTAGGGTTTAGGGTTTAGGGTTTAGGGTTTAGGGTTTAGGGTTTGAGGGTGCTTCTGTTGGGAGACTGTTGGGGATGTTTAGAGTTTCGGCTTCAGGGAATCCATCTACTGTCCTTTCCTAAACCCTAACCCTAAACCCTTCCAAAAAATATGGCCTACAGACCTGAAGTTCCATATATTCACTCTCATGCATTATCATGTTCTTCCCGCATTCAGGATGCAACTTGCCCAATGGATCCTAAACCCTAAACCCTGAACCCTGAACCCTAAACCCTAAACCCGAAACCCTAGTCATCCCTGCGCGCTAAACCTTCTCTACCTATGAATAATGGATATATAACTCAAATGGAAAGGGGTTCTGGGAGGGTGGGGCGATACCAAATACACGGAGAAGAAAAGGGGCCTTGCAGATCGCCGGCCCAGGCCAATTGTAAACCCTAAACCCTAAACCTTAAACCCTAAACCCTAAACCAAGCCTGTATTCGACAAATGACTTGGCAAAGAAGTTCTTGGGGTGCGCTGTTGGGGGACGATTCATGAAGCCCTACTCCCTGTCATGTCGAAATCCGCCCCTGGGATCAGAATCCATGTTCAGCCCGAAGTCCTTGGACAGCCTCCATTGCTAAGTTCATAGGGTTTAGGGCATAGGATTGAGGTGTTAGGCCCCAAACCCCACAACCCTCAAACCCTTAAACCCTGAAACCTTGAACCCTAAACCCCAACCATTGAGACCCTTACATTACCTTGCAAAGTTGCGCCCCGAAGTCAAAAACGTTTCTCCCGGCAACCTCTGTCCGTAGCAACCACAAGGAGTTGGGTTTCGGTTTAGGGTTCAGGGTTGAGGGTTGAGGGTTTGTAGGATTTATGTGCCAGATGGCGATCTGGAGCGGGCCCTCAACCCCGAACCATCAACCCTGGCAAAAACAAAACTAACCCCAATGCATGGCCCTTGACAGATTTTTGTTTATGGGGTGATGTCATGATCGCATTCAGGAAGATTCTTCAGAGGTTCAGGGTTAGGGTTTAGGGTTTAGGGTTTAGGAGGGTTTCAGGGGCCAACCCAGCTTGTCCAACGGAGGCATGCTCTCCACTGACTGGCCGCAGTGCACTCAGAAGAACGGGCCGTGGGTTTCGGGAGTACCCCATGGTAGCCCAGTGGTACCCTTTACCCTTTTTGTTCTTCTGGGTTTCCTTTGAAAAGTAACCAACCAAAACAAGGGTGACCTTTGTTATAATATGGTGACTGGGCTACCAAGAAACTGAACCCTAGAAAGTCTAAACTTGGGATGTGCGCCCCTTATACTAACAGTCCTTTATTAGGGATGGTAGTAGGGTGTGCTATGGTCCCGATTGGGGACTGTTAGTATAAGGGGGCACATCCCTAGTCTAAACTCTAAAGCCCCGAAGCCCCAAACCCAACTAACTCAACTCCCCTAAACCCCTCAGGCCTACGAACCCTAGAACTCCTCATGCCTAAACCCGAAACCCTAAACCCTATGGCTTAGAGGGCTTAATTACCCCTAACTTAAGAACCCTTCTTTGTAGGTTGCCTAGGAATCCTATAAGGGGTTCGTACATGAAATAAGCTCTTTGGCCAACGTCCGAATTCGTTTTCGCACCAGCACACCGAAGCTTCTGAGCTCTCTGACCCAGAGAGAGGGTTTAGGGTTTATAGGGTTTGTAGGGTTTATAGGGTTTATAGGGTTGATAGGGTTTATAGGGTTGATAGGGTTTATAGGGTTTATCGGGTTCATCGGGTTCATCGGGTTTATAGTGTCAGACCTGAACAAGAACCCGCACAGACCCGAAACTACCAGCTTCAAAAGGCCCACTTAGCCCTCAACCCAAAGGGCCTTAGCCCGAAGACCCCGAAGCAACCTCCGAGGCCCCCTAAACTAGGGGTAGGGTTTAGGGTTTAGGGTTTAGGGTCTAATTAGGGTTTAGGGTTTAGGGTTTAGGGTTTAGGGTTTAGGGTTTAGGGTTTAGGGTTTGAGGGACACTCACCCAAGCCTGGATGGAAGAAGGGCTGAGGAGATCAGTACCCGCGTCCCGAAGTCCCTAGGTCCGACCTGCGGGGCATCTTCGTGGGGATCTCCTCGATCTTCTATGCCGCCAGGGATCGCCCGAAGCCCTAAACCCTAAACCCGAAACCCGAAACCCGAAACCCGAAACCCTAAACCCTAAACCCTAAACCCTAAACCCTAAACCCTAAACCTAAACTAAATGTTGAGCAATACCCGCGCGCCCAAAAGAAGGGAGAGGTTTAGGGTTCAGGGTTCAGGGTTTAGGGTTTAGGGTTTAGGGGGCTTAGTTTTTGGGCCCTCAGGGCATGATCGCCAAACCCCATGAACCCCTAAAGCCCTAAACCCCTAGCCACACACCTTTTTTGCAACTGGCCTAGGCGACTGCCCCGAAACCCTTGTAGAACGTACCCGCTTCCCCACAGTCCAGGGGAGAGGTTGGGATCCGAGTTCCCTTTGCGACGCAGGACGCTGGCATCACAGAGCGGCTGATACAGAAGAAGGACCCCATGACACCAGGGTTTAGGGTTTAGGGTTTAGGGTTCAGGCCGGAAGAATTGTCCTCTTCAAGGGTAGGGAGCAGGGGAAAGATTTCAGGGAAACGGCTGTGAGCCGCCAAGTTTTTGAGGATCTTGAGCCTAAGCCTGGAAGCTTTGAGGCTTTAGTGTTTTGGATTTGCATAAGGACTGGGCCTCAGAGTAGACCCACAAGGGGGGTTGGGAAGTTAAAAAGGGAGCGACCCTCTGAAGGGTCATTGCCGTGCACAGTTTCCCTACTAAGAGCTGCTTAGAACCCTAAGCCCGAAGCCCAAACCCTAAACCCCAAACCCTAAACCCCAAACCCTAAACCCCAAACCCTAAACCCGAAACCCTAACAACCCTAAACCCTAGCAACCCTAACAACCCTAAACCCCAAGAGGACTGCTTGCTGGCCCTTTCTTCGGCTATGGAAGCCGAGCTCGTCCGAGGCCAGGTTGCCCGGAAGCCCTCAGAAGCGCCAGAAGAAGCTCAGGATCTAAAGGGTTTAGGGTTTGGGGTTTGGGGTTTTGGGTTTTGCGGTTTGGGGTTTGGGGTTTAGGGTTTAGGGTTTGGGGTTTGGGGTTTGGGGTTGCTTGGGTGCAGGGTTTAGGGTTGCTGCTTGGGTTTTGCTTGGGTTTAGGGTTGCTGCTTGGGTTTTGCTTGGGGTTAGGGTTGCTTGGGTTGCTTGAGTTGCTTGGGTTGCTTTGGTTGAGGGTTTAGGGCTTGGGTCTAGGGTTGAGGTTGAGAGTTCCCCCACCGAATCTCTTCAGCCGGAGGCTCCAGCGAAGCAATCCAGGAGGAGTGGGCCGCCAAGAAGTTGCCCCTCGCCCAGGCTCTTAAGGCTCTTGCCGGCTTTCGGGTGTGTTGGGCTGTGGATTCTGGGACTTCAGCTCTGCGAGGACAAAAGTTCGTCCGGAGCCTGAACCCTAAACCCTGAACCGAAAGAGGGGTGGAGGGCGTAGGGACCAAGAGCAGCTGAGGCACCTCCACCAGCAGAAGGCCGGACAGTGCTGGTTTCTCTCTCATCGTGGATGTGGGGTTTAGGGTTTAGGGTTTACGGTTTCGGGCTTAGGGCTTGGGTTTAGGGTTTAGGGTTTAGGGTTTAGGGTTTAGGGTTTAGGGTTTAGGGTTTAGGGTTTAGGGTTTAGGGGTTAGGGTTTGGGTTTAGGGTTTAGGGTTTAGGGTTTAGGGTTTAGGGTTTAGGGTTTAGGGTTTAGGGTTTAGGGTTTAGGGTTTAGGGTTTAGGGTTTAGGGTTTACTTACAACTTGCAACCCTAGTTAAGGCTTTCATGGTTTGCTTGACGAACTTAGCTCAACGCTACAAACAAATCCTTCGTACCCACGTGCTAAGTTCCCTGAGCTTTTGTCATGGGTTCCTCTATTACGCCCCTCTATACTACCCCTGTAGGTTCCCTCCATTATTGAGGCTATTTAGGATTAAAAAAAGAGCTTAATTAAGGTTAGTTAAGGGAAGTATAGAGGGTGGGTAGCAGGTAGCACATAGACCCATGATTTTGGGTTTTGTGGGGGCCCCAGGGTTAGTTTGGGGGATTAGGGTTTGGGGTTTTGGGTTCAGGGTTTACGGTTTGGGGTTTGGGGCTCTAGGCATGGAGTTACTAGTAATTGTGGGCCGCTGATCAAGCAAGATTAGCTCCAGCAGTAGCCGAATCGCGACATGCACGAACTGGCTTTTGCCATGCTGAAGACATCTGCAGCACACCAATTGTCCATCGCTATGTTAAACCGTCCGAGACTGACGTGGATGATCTCTCCGCAAGGCGTAACGTCTTTGAACAATCACTTCTTCTCAAAGGGCTGAGGGATGTTGAGGGTTAAGTTGCGGGAGAACAACCCTTACTAAATCCTAAACACAAAACCCTAAGTCTCCAAGGACTTTGGGTCCGAAAGCCTTCATATAGAGGGGCTACTTTGAGCCTAACTAAGGGTAAACCCCAAAGATCCTTAAACCTTGACGGTCCCTACGTTTGGTGACGCAGTCCCTCCTGACCAGGTCGCCAACCTGGCGATGGTGACCTTCCCAGCCCTCTTGGGCCAGTGTGGGCTTGGGAGCTGCAAGGGACCCCCCTACCCCTAAGGCTCCAAGGACTCTTATGTTAAGGTTTTTGGGCCCATAGGCCTAAGTGTATAGAAGATTTTGGGGCTATTTTGAGCCATAAGGGTAGACTATTAAGTCTAGACCCTAAACCCACCCTAAACCCTAAACCCTAAACCCTAAACCCTAAACCCTAAACCCTAAACCCTAAACCCTAAACCCTAAACCCGCCCACCACCCCTCTCATTCTAGAGGTGAGTGGGCGCCGTCGAGCGCTCAGCGAGACCACGGCAGGCTCTGCTGAGCTGCAGAGCCTGCCGACCGCACCCCTGAGGGGTCGCCAAGCTTGGTCGCCAAGCACTGTCCCTAATATATTGCATTACCCTAAACCCGAGCTTTTCTGCTCGCGGAAGGCTCCAACCCTCCCAGTAAGGGAGGCCTTAAACCCTTCCAGTGGGAGGCCCTTAAACCCTCCCAGTAAGCAGGGGGACCTTAAACCCCTCCCAATAAGCAGGGGGGCCTTAAACCCTCCCAGCAGCCGGGGTTGTCCCGGGACCCTTCCGGGACGGGTTGTCCCGGGGCCCCCCCGGGACAGGTTGTCCTGGGGCGTCCCGGGGCGTCCCGGGACCCCCCCGGAACAATTGTCCCGGGGTCCTTGGGACGGCCCTGGGACAGTTGTCCCGGGGCCCCCCCGGGACACCCCGAGACGCCCCCAGGACATTGTCCCGGGGCCCCCCCGGGACGCCGAAATTCCAAAATCTGGGTGTCTGTTCCGTTTCGTTTTCCGCGTTTTCCGAGGGATTTTGTACGGTTTTCCAAAACCGACGCGGCAGCCAAAAACCGCTTCTTGGTCCATAACCTGTGTTTGTTTTGTGTTTTCTGTGCTGTTCGCGGTGCCACGCTTTTCGATTCCATAGCCATGCTTGTACGAACCAGCAAGATACGATCCCGGATTTCTGCCAGCGCCTGGCTTTGTGCCGTTTTTTTGAATCACGGCCCGTTTTTTCGCTATCTATTTTGGGCGTTTTTGTGTCGATTTTTGGCTTTCCTTAAGGTTGGGACGCAGTCTCCCTACAAAACCTCCTGCGGGTAAGTATGCTAGATGTTGTTTTGGAAAACGTTTCGTGTTTTGATCGTAGGCCTTTGATTCCTGCTGCGGGAGGTTTTGGACGCAACACGAAATTTCATCTCATTTTTTTCGCCTCTAGGCAGCACCTAGCCATGCATGACATCCCTTTGCAGCGGAAACAGTCGTAGTCTTGTGTCTCTGAGGTCTGGATGCTTCTTGGCTTCGTGGTCGACGGCGACATCGGTGATTGGGGATCCGGCCACAGGCACTGCGGGGCACTTCTCTAACTCCCGTGTCTAGTCACTCTCCTTTTCTGCCTCGACTGTGATGCGCATGATCCGGACTGCTGCGAACGCGTCCCACGCCAGGTGCCGCATGCCTTGGGCGAGGACGACATCCAGGTGCTCGTCCTGAGTAGGGACGATGTAGGGGCATCTCATAGACTTGCGCGCTGGCAGTCGCATATGCTTAAAAAAGGTTCCTCTCTGGCGGGTGGCCTGCTTGAGCGTTGTGATGCGTGTGAGGCAGGGCTCTTCGACTCAGCCCCCTTGCCTCGATGGGCAACAGCGACCTGTTGTAGCTTTCTGGCCACCAGGTGTTCTCACCGTTTCTGCTGATATAGTCCGTCGTCTTGTTGCCATGGCTTCATCGACCGACCTGCCAGCTTCAGCATTGCTCGTTCATGGCAAATGGATCCAAAGCTTGTTGGACGGTTCGAAGATCTGGGAGCTGAGGGGGGAGCGAACAAAGAAACGGGAGCGGATCGCATTGGCCTGTAAAGGAACAGGCAAGCTGTTTGGCGAGGTTCAAGTCACCGACTGCTTGCCCGTCGGTGTCGTCGACTCTGGAGGGCAACTGGTGGCAGTCCAAGGTCATGAGCAGCATTTCTTGCTCCTGCCCGCCAACATGACCAAGCACCGTGTTTCGAACGAGGAGCTGCGTGGTTTCCGCTACCGTCGTTGGTACGCCTGGGTCGTCAGCGATCCAGTGCACTACGAAGAGCCAGTCAGGTATTCGCACCCGCGTGGAGCGCAGGACTGGGTGAGGTTGGACAAGTGCCGCCCGGCACCTTCGACTGAGGACGAGGCCAGGAGCGCTCCGAAGAGGCAACGATTGTCTTCGACTTCCACAGATGATCGGGCCGACAGGCGCGGCCTAGCTGGCGCTCAAGGCCAGACTAGTTGAAAGGCCGCTGCCGATGCCTTTAGTTCAGAACGTGCGACCTGCAGCCGAACTGTGGCTGGTCGATTTTTGACTCAAGGCGCTTCCGCTTGTAGTCGTGGAAGGGAACAGCCCGACCTCGGACGCGCTTCCTCGCACTCTTGTTGTGGGCGAATGATCTTGAAAGGACTTCGCGTTTCCATCACACGCAGCACAGCCTGTCCGGTTCGTCACTGAGTGTCTGCAGAAGCTGGGCCTGCATGTTGAGATTTCTGTAGCTATATAGCATCATTCCTGTATACTTGCTATCTACCTCCCTCGGACCGCTCCTTTCCGTTGCCATTCTGCTATGTCCTACTTCGGCAAGATGGGCGGCGCGGCATCGTGGAAGGGTCCGGGCAAGAAGGGCAAGAAGGCCACTGGAAAGAAGGGAACGGGGCCGAGCGGCAAGAAGGACTGGCTTCGCAAGGTGGCCTGGGGTGACCGCTTGCCGAAGTACTTCCTTCGCCCATACGTGGATCAGACGGGAAGCCCATTTGCCGGGGGCAGCATCGAGGAGAAGAACTTACTCAGCACCTCCCATCTCCAGACTGTGCTCGACGAGAAGTGCTCCGAATACTGCGCCCGACAGGGCGTCGCCCTCTCGGAGGGGGCCGCGAACCTTGAGGCCGGAGCGGCTCTGCTGGGTTATCACTTCGTCAAGGATCCCAAAGCAGCAATACAAAAGCTCGGCATCCAAGAGCTCCTGGACGAGTTTGACTCCACCGAGGGGAAGAAATTCCTCGAGGCTTGCCGATACTTGAACACGTCAAACGAGGACCTCGAGCGCAATCAAGATGCGACGTCGCAGGCCGTCAAGCGGTACCTCCGCTTCTTTATGTCTCAGGAGGGCAAGAAGGAGCTCTGCTTCAAGAAGTTAGCCCGGTTTGCGGCAAGGCTCTACTTGTTTGCGTTCGAAGGCCTCGAAGCAATCACTGCCATCAACCATCCCCGGGTCATGGCAGCAGGCGTTCAGCGTGTGGGCACAGAGTACAATCTTCCCTCCTCTTCCCGGACATGGCTGAAAAAGCCCGATGACCAAGAGGCAATGCTGTGGTCCTTCGTCAGTGCCTTTCACCAGCAGAAGGTCGACAGCGGCAAGAAGCGGGCCGCTTCCTCCCTCTTCGAGGACTGGGATGAGCCCGTTGAAGACGGCCACTGGACAGGCGGCTACGCCAATGCCTGGGGTTACGATGACGACGAGGAAGGCCAGGAGGAAGAACGAGAGGCTCCCAAGGGGGTTGGCAACAAGCGCCCGAGGCGCGGCAACATCGGCAAGTCTGCGCATCCAAAGGACGCCTTGGCGTCGGACGAGGAAGATACTGCCGCCGAGCCGATCGACCTCCAGTCATCGCCAGAGCCCGTCCCGGAGGTGGAGCTGGAGCTCGGCGACTACTCCATGGAGGCGTTGGAGAAGCTGAAGACCTGTCTGGACGAGGTGGCCAACAAGGATGCAAGGGAGCGTCCTCCCGTCTCTGTTTTGCAGGAGGACTTGAAGGCTGTGCCGACCTCTGCGTTGCGATCCCTTGACCTGGAGGTGACCGTGAAAGCGTTCTGCGACAAGACCCGCTACCCCAAGACCGAAAACCTTCAGAAGCTTCTCGCCGTGCTGCAGAAAATGGCTGCCAGCCTGGAGGAGGCGCTGAAGGCAAAGCCCGACACCGGGGACAAGTGACACGCGGTATATCTATGCTCGCAGGATTGTAGCTGCAGAACTCGCGCATCAGCACGCCGGGCACGTTGTGGTTGGTCGCATATGGACATACATCTATACTGCATATGTTTCCGCATCGTACTTGCTGTAATGATTCTCGAAGGGAAGCCATTCAAGAGTTGGCCTGAGAGAAGCCGTGCCGTCGTTGCCCGACACAACGCTCCAATAAGCATTATCCACCTTTATTCACTGTTGGGGCTTTGTCAGAACTGAACTTGAGCAGCTCTGCAAAATAGCCGCTTGCCAGAGTCAGAGCAGGAGCAGTATAGAGGCTTGCCAGAGTCAGAGCAGGAGCAGTATAAAGGCTTTGCACGGGCTTGATATTGAGGTGGTTGCACGGCATCCACTTCTTCTTTCATCCTCCGAGTGCTCAACTGAGGCGTGCTAGACCGGAGGCTATACTGTCGTAGGCCTGGTGTCCATCCGCTAATGCCTCGCGCTTGTCTCGGCATGTCGGGGAACTCCTGCCGTTTCTCCGCTTCGCGGCCGGGTCGCCCCGCACAGCCCAGCCCTGGTCAGCAGCGCTGTCTCTTCTGCGACGCCGAGCGGCTGGAGACGGCGTTGGCGGCGGCAAGTGGCCGGTCGACGGTGACGCGGATGCTCCGAGCGCCTTGGATGCCCTGATCAATGTGTGTGCGAACTGCCAACAGTGCACTCTAATGCTAGAGCACGGCGCACGTTTTCTTCATGCACTCTTGTCGCATGCACTCCTCTGCCGCCGCGCGGGCAGTGATCTACATGGCGCGTGCACTCACGCAGGTCCTGCGTGCGAAGGATGCGGACGTCTACGAGGATGCGCTGGTCCGAGTTGGCGAGGTCAGCCCGGATCTTGCGGACATCGAGCGCTGCGTCCTCGGCCCCAGCACGCCGCGCGATCTACCATCCGAGGCAGACCCTTTCCAGGCACGGCTGTCCTCAGCGGCAGCGACCGCCAAGATCCAGCATGAGGATGGATGCGCCACGTCGCAGGACTCGGACGTGATCCCAGAGTTCGACCCTCCGGCCACGGGGGGCACTTTGCGTCGGGACGATGCCTCTGACAGCAGAACCTAGGGCGGAGACTTTTAACCGGCTGTGATTGTTCAGACTTGCTTCGATGCAACGAGAAATCAAGCAACTACATATGACTCAGGACTATATAGTGTACATCGACAAGTCGCGTTTCGAGATGTTGCATCGTCGCTTTATTTACAACGCTCCGATAAGCATTATCCACCTTTATTCACTGTTGGAGCTTTGTTCGAACTGCACTCTCCGCCCGCATGCATCGCCAGCGAAGAAAGACAGAATGTTCACAAGTGTGGATGTCGGCTGTGGATCTCATAAGCACAGGCCGCTGTCGGCAAGCTTTTCTGCTCTGCGCAGGTAGGCATTGATCGGTAGCGGCCGTGTCTGAGCTCCCTGCTGCTGTCAACATGTTCGGCCGCCCGCTCCCCGATGCGCCCATGCAGTCGGTGGATCTGGACGGCGTGGCTGCAGCCTCTGTCCACGTGTTCGCCCGCCCGCTCCCTGAGGCACCCGCGCGGGCCGTGGATCTGGACGACGTGGCTGTGGCCTCTTTGCCAGCAAGCTCCGAACGCACGTCCACAGCGTCCGCGGCCGCCGCCGGGCCAGGACACAAGCGTCCGCGCCGCCAGCGCCGCGGAGATGCCAGAGACCGGCAGGTTCTTTGTCACGGCCTGCCCGGACAAACTTGCCGCTTCGCTGCAGATGGATCCGGCGCGCGGGCTCAAGGCAAGCATGGCGGTCGATGCGTTTTCTGCGACGAGTCAGCCATGGCCCAAGCTCTTGGGACACCTGCAGGCCGCGGCAACATCGTTCGGTTCCTCAAGCAGTGGAGACAGGCCGGCTCCGACACTTTCGATGTTGCGCTTTCCCGCAGCACCTTGGCGTCGTTGCCGGACGAAGATCGCCAGGGCCTTCGGTTGTCGGCAGAGCTCCCGGTTCGGAGGCCTGTGGCGCAACCTGCCGGCCGTGCCGCCGAGGCGCTGGGCAGGCGCCGAGCCGTGACAGCGGCGCCGAGTGCGCAGCAGCTGCAGGCCTACCGCGCCGGGGTCGCGGAGGACCGCGCTTACGTGCGACGCAAATTCTTCCCGCAGCGCGACCGCCGTGTTCGGCATGCCGACTTCCGATGGAAAAACCCCATGCCCGCCAACTTGCATGCCAAGATCCACGATCAGGCCTTCAACGACACCGGCCTTCCAGACGCGCACGTGACCGACAAGGCCCGCCTTCTGGAGCTTTGGTGCAAGCAGCATTCCTGGAAGGTTTGCCGTCTCTGCGCGACAGTGCAGCCGCAGCATCTCAAGGAGGCCGACCTCCGGGAGAAGACGCCGACTGCTCTTGCCAAGTGCAAGAACTGCAGCAAGCCCGAAGAGACACGACTATGGGTACCATCTGCAGAGGAGGTGCCCCTGCCTCTACGTGGACTGCCTCGCGAAGTGCTCCTGTCGTTGCGCCCCCTGGACATTGACTGCGGACCGGAATGGAAGGCTGATTATGGGTATTACTTTCATAGCACCATGATTCGCTTCTCCTGGTCCCAGCCGGACGTCCTGGCGAAGATCGACACTTTGGACGGCAGAAACCGCAAGATCGCCAAGAAGGCGGGCGCGCGTCTTGCTTGCCTGTTCTGCTTTGCCTCTGCTCGTCTGGCTTACCGTCCCTGCATGCCTGTTGTTGTGCGTGTCGTCAGGCCTTCGATTTCCTCATGGGCAGCGATGCCTCCAGCTACCGGTCCTTCGTGCAGCGCCATCGCCGCTTTCTACGTGACTACCCCAACGCTGATGCCGAGAGGCGGAAGCGCCCTCTGCGCTTCCTGGAGGAAGAGGCTGTGGAGTGTGCACTGTGGCCACATCTGTATTGGGACTGGCGCCTCTGTGAGACCTCTACGCGGCTCGCAGACGTTCGCCGCCGGGCTCGCGCCGTCGAGGCGGTTCGCGCCGCGGCCGGCGGCGCAGACGAATCCGATGTTGAGGAAGAAGATGTCGAGCATGCCACGCGACAGAGTCTGCGGCGCTCTTTCCTCGCAAAGGCCATGGGCCCTATCGCCGACTACGCCGGCGACCACGAGCTCGTGCATTTCGTCTTCGATTTGTTCATGTGGTCGGACGTGGGGGGCAAAAAGGGCGCCTTGCCCGGCACGCCGATGTGGCAGGCGATGAAAGGCGCCCCGTGGACGCCCCAGTTCTGGAAGGTGCGACACGCCGCCGCCCTGGATATGCAGGCCCAATGCGGGTTTCCGGTTGCCTTCTTCACCTGGGCTCCGTTTGAGTGGTCCGCGCCATATCACCAGTGGGTTCTGCGCCAGATGGAGCAGTTGGGGCGCCATCGTCTCGGTTTGGCTGGACCCGAAGCCCTTCACCTGGCTCACCTGCTCACCGAGCTCTTTCGCGAGTGGGTTTGCGGGGGGGAAGGAAGTTTGGGGCTGCCACGTCCAACTGGCAGACCTCCCTTTTCGGTGGCCATCGAAGTGACGGCAGCCGCGTGCGGGTGAACTTCGTCGGGCGACTGGAGTTCCAAGATGGCAAACGCAAAGAAGCCACTCAAGATTACCACGGGCGTGCGGCGGTGCACCTGCACGGTCTAGTCTTCGCCGATGAGGTCGGGCCGTCGCAGCTGCACACCAAGATCTGCGCCACGGTACCTCCGGAAGGCGACCCATTGCGAGGCTACGTGCTAGATGGGCAAGCCGGCCGCACGGGGAGCGGGCTGCCGAGACAGGAGGAGGCCAGCTACTGTGACGCCACGACGGACACCGTGCACCTGCGACACTCCTTCCTGGACAAGCGCCTGGGCATCCGAGGCTACAGCCCCGAGTTCCTGGACGTGTTCAAGTGCCACCAGGATGTGCAGATTCAGCGAGGCACTGGGCTCATGCTCAAGTACGCCGCGACCTACCTGCCCAAGTTCAGCGATGGACCTGGGAAGGAGCTGATGGACGACGGCAGCAGCGCGTACGCAGCAGCCAGGCGCGTGCTCTTCACTTTCCATCCCGGTGAGCCGGAGATGTGGCTGCTGCTGGCGAGCCAGGCTTTCCCCATGTACTTCCTGGGCGGGACGATGCGGCCTATCATTGCCCCTCACCCTGGCATGCCGAAGAAACCGGACTACGTCCGTCAGTATGAGGCTGCCGCCTGGCGCGGGCAGATGACGTTGCTGGAGTTCCTTCGCAGGGTGAACGCGAAGGGGGCCATTCTGGAGCACATCCGCAAGTCCCACGCCGCTTCGGGCACGGAGTCCATTCTGGAGGAATACGCTCTTCGCTTCCAGACCTTCGGTGAGAAGGTCGTTGCCGCAGAAATGGTCTCCATGACCAACGACAAGTTCTACGGCCAGTGGCTTGCGCTCCACGTCCCTTTCCAGCAACTCGAGGACCTGCTCGTCCACGACATCGTCGCCCGTGTTCCCGACGGCGTGAAGTTTCTAGCCTGTGCTCTACACCTAGCCCCGGAGGTCTGGCGGCAGCCCGCTGCCATTCGAGCCTACATGGAGGTTCGAGCACATCGCGACACGTTCATCGAAACGGTCCTCAGCATGATTTCAGCACAGGCAGCTTTCGTGGAACAGCACCTCGATGGGCGACTGTCGCCGCCCGGTGCCGTGGCCATTCCCATGCGCCCGAGCTACGTGGGCGACGACTCCGATGAGCTGCAGTTCACTGCATCGCAATCTTTGCTCGAGACCTACATCGACCGCCGCGTCGACCAGGCGCTTCGCATCCGTGCGACTGCGGACGACGTCGAGTACGAGCGCTTGGTGGGGCTTGCAGAGGAGCACGGGAGCATGGTGGCCGCCACCGGCCCGCCGGGAACTGGCAAGACCGCTGTGCTGGACCGGTGCATTCGGCGGGCTGAATCCCTCGGCGCCCGCATCCTGATCGCTTTGCCCACGGGAGTTCAGAGATCTCGGATGAGGCAGCGACATCCGAACGTGGACTTGGACACGTGTCACGGAGCTTTCCTTTTCCATCGACCCCTGACGGAGGCTTTGGGCATTGTGGCAGCCTACGATCTGATCGTCGTCGATGAAGCCTTCCAACTCGTCGAAGAACACTTCGAGCGATTGCATCAGATGTGGGTGGTGGCCGCCAGGGTGCCTTGTCTGGTTCTGGCAGGCGACGAGTGGCAGCTCCCGCCTCCAGATCGCACGCAACGGAGCCTCGCCTGCCACCCGCGCTGGAGATTCGTCTGCAAGGTGGAGCTGCACCACGTTTGGCGGCAGGACGGCGGCGACCCTCTCCTCAGCAAGCTGACGTACCTCCGCAAGAGCCGCCCGACCGGAAGAGAAGGCGACAGCCTGTTGCGCGATCTCTGTCGCGGGCACAAGGCTTGGTCTGGCCACCACGAGCCGACTGGCGACGACATCAAACGCCTCCTGGAGCGCACCGACGGCGGCGGCACCACCGTGATCACCTGCACTCGGCGAGGGGCCGCTCTGGTGAATCGACTGTTCCAGGCTGCTTTGTTCCCGCGGCCGACGGCGCCAGCGCTGGGTCGTGTCCCGGCGGACTATGAGTGCAACCCCGTCAACTATGATGACACCGGAAAGCTGCTTGACCGACTGCCGCAGCCGCTGCACTTGACCCTGCACGAAGGTCTGCGAGTTCGACTCACGCGAAACGTCGACAAGCCCAATGACTTCGTGAATGGAATGGCTGCTGTCGTACTCGGTTTCGACCCTCGCCGGCACGCCATTGTGGTGGAAACAGAGAGCAAGCATTGCCTGTGTGTGTACCCCATCACGACCGACGACGTGCCTGGAGGGCGCTTGACTTACTATCCGGTCAAGTTGGGGTACGCGGACACGGTGCACAAGTACCAGGGAGCTGAGCTCAGCCATGTTACCTTTTGGCCGGACCGGCCTGGCTGCCCTGCTGCAGGTTACGTGGCCCTCTCACGAGTGAAGAGAGATGCGGACTACCTTCTCGGCGGTTGCGTCAAGCCAGAACACTTCCTCCCGGCCCGCTGACCCAGCCTGAGTGCTTGCAAATGGTTTCAATGTACTCTCACCACGGCTAACAGAGAAGCCGCAAAATCTCGATTGCGCCGAGCGACTCGAGGGCGCCAAAAGGCAGAGCGTGTCGCATCGCGCAGCCACGTGTCCGAATGCACCTTTATCATAATAATACAGGGCCGTCTACGGCATACACAACGAATGATCTAAAGACCTAGCGAGAAGTAATCAGTCCATCGCATTTCATCCCTGCCTGACATATAGCCACCTGCGTGCTTGCCTGCCACCATGGCCATTTGAGATCTCTGACTCCGTGGCTGCGCCCATTCCCCTCGTTTCCTGTGCTGCTCACGGCCCTGTGTCCAGCTCGTCGCCCCTGGGCTGATATCGAAGACAATGAAATCTTCTTAGCCTTCAAAAGCTGGAAGTACGTGCAGCGTCGAATGCATAAGTTTGATAATGTAGGCTGGCTTTGGTTCGGCTGGCTTTGGTTTGGCTTGTTGCAAGTAGTGATTGGGCGGTCTTGGGGTGGGCATGTCTGCACACTATTGCGTTCAGCTGACCCATGCTACACCCTAAACCCTAAACCCTAACCCCTAACCCCTAACCCCTAAACCTAAACCCTAACCAGGCCAAGCAGAGGGGTTCAGAGTTGAGCTTTGCCTCGGTCCGGAGGCTTGAGAGATCCCAAGAGCACTGTTTCTGAGCTTTGTGGTTGGGGGTTTAGGGTTTAGAGTTTTCGTTTTCCCGCTTTGGGGATTTGGGGTTCATGGGTTTCGGGAGTGGCGTGCCACCCAAGATTGTCTTGATGCATTCCCCCCCCCCCCCTCCCCCCGCCCCCCATTAGCAAAACCAACGGCACGACAAGCAAATACTTGGGAGGTGTGCAGTTTGCAGACTCCAAATCCGATCCAGGATTTGGGGGGCCTCTATCTGGACCGGCACATGCCCAAACTAGCACGCGCTTGCCAATGTTTTTGTACTTTGGACGAAGACGTCAGCCACAGTTGCGGGCAGCACAAGGCCGCTGCCCGTTTTAGGGTTTAGGGTTTAGGGTTTAATTAGGGTTCGCATGAAAAGGACTGAACCCGCAAAAAGCTCCCGAGCACCCAAACGCCCAGGCTCATACCTTCATCAGCCGCGTCCTGCATGACGATGCATGGCCCGGACCTGAGCCTATCACCCTCTTGGACCCAGCTCTGTTTAGGGTTTAGGGGTTTTAGGGTCTAGTGTTTAGGGTTTAGGATTTAGGGTTGAGGGAAGATCCGAAGCCGTAAACATCCGTAAAACCTTATAATTCAATGCTCTGGTCACCTGTATTTTCATCTCGTGGCAAGACTGACAACCCACGAACCCTCAAGTACACCCACTGAGCCCTCTCGGGTTTAGGCTTTGGGGTTTTGGGCTTAGGGTTTGGGGCATTAGGGTCGGTGGTTTAGGGCCTCAGCCTCAGTGCATGTGCTCTGGCAGTCACGTCCCAGTTGCAAGGGTGGTTTAAGGCTTGGGTTGAGGGCTTGTGCGGTTCAGGGGGTCCAGAGAGGCCTCAGGGTTGAGAAAACTTGTGACTGATGACCTTCTGTCTGGTGAATGACACACACTGGGCCGGAGGCTAGCTTTTGCTGCATCACGGATGTTTGGCAAGACTAACCCTAAGCGGCAAAAGAAACCCAAACCCCTCCCTACCGCCGTAACGTGTCAAATTGGCGGCATCCTAAGCTCGAATCCCCGCAGTTTAAGTTGAAGACCTCTGGCCTTAAAGGTCAAGTTCGGACTTCGGAAGCCCAAAACCCTGAACCGACAAGTTCCCTAAAGCCTACGTTTTCGGGCTTCGGGATCTTAGTTGGTGCCTGAGAAATCGGGTTACTTAATTCGGAGAAGCCAACTTCGGGGATGACCCTGCTTACGAAGTTCCCTGAGCCTTCAAGCGATCTAGAGAGAGAAGAAGAGAAGCCCTAAACCCTAAACCCTAAACCCCAAACCCTAAACCCTAAACCCTAGAGAGATGAGGCTATACTTCCGTCGCTCCTGGCAGATGGGACCCTTTGCTGCAGCCCATTCTCCCAGCAAGGCCCCCTTGTGCTTTCTCTGGATATTTTGGGGACTCTGGGCCTTGAAACCCTAAACCCTAAACCCTAAACCCTAAACCCTAAACCGCACTCAGGGATGCTTAAGGGGTGCTTCGCTTGCTAAAAGAAGCTCCAGAAGTTCAGAGGCCCGAGATCTAGATTCGGGCTATAGAGTTGAGAGGGCTTCTGCTTCAGGGTTCAGGGTTCAGGGTTCAGGGTTCAGGGTTTAGGGTTTAGGGTTTAGGGTTTAGGGTTTAGGGTTTAGGGTTTAGGGTTTAGGGTTTAGGGCTTCTTGGAGCTGCTTTAGAATATACTTCGAGGTTCATGGGTACTTTGAACCGCACTTATCAGTTTTCATTTACTGCATCCCCTAAACCCTAAACCCTAAACCCTAAACCCTGAACCCTGAACCCTGAACCCTAAACCCTAAACCCTAAACCCTAAGCCGGACTTGGGGTTTTTTAGTTATTCGGGTTCTCAGTACCCTGAACCTCCTATAGGTACTTCAGAGTCCTATGCGCCCAACTCCCTTAAACCCTAAACCCAAAACCCTAAACCCTAAACCATCCTAAACCCGAAACCCTAAACACTACACCCTAAACCCGAAACCCTAAACCCTACCCCGGAGGAACTGACTTTCCGCAGCTCCCCCAAGTCCCAGTTCAAAGGGTGTACAGGGTTTAGGGTTTGGGGTTCAAGGTTTGGGGTTTAGGGTTTAGGGTTTAGGGTTCAGGGTTGCGCCGGGTTGCGCGTTCAAGGTTGAGTCGGGTGGTTTCACAGCAGCTCTTATGCCAAGAAAGTCGTCTCTGTCCTCCCGTAGATTTGGGGCCCCACGCGAAGGATGCAGGCTTTAGGCTTTAGGGTTTAAGGTTTAGTTGTTTAGGGGTTTAGGGTTTAGGGCTTCGGTCAAGAGGTTTCGGCTTTAGGGGTTTAAGAAATACCAGCTGTACGTCGCGATCTCGGGATCCCCTTTACACCCCTAAACCCGAAACCCTAAACCCTAAACCCTAAACACCCAGGAAGAAGCTCCTTCATCGCCACCTGGTCGCTGGGCGTGCCCGAGACTCTGGCCCTTGGGTTCTATAGGGTACATGAGGCGTACATAAGGAGTGCCCTTGTAAGGGTTAAGGGTTTAGGCGGTTTAGGGTTTAGGGTTAGGGTTTGGGTTCAGGGTTAAGGGTTGAGGGTTGAGGGTTGAGGGTTTAGGGTTTAGGGTTTAGGGTTTAGGGTTTAGGGCTTAGGGCTTAGGGCTTAGGGCTTAGGGCTTAGGGCTTAGGGTTTGGGGTTTGGGGTTTAGGGTTTAGGGTTTGGCGTGTTGTGTGGGATGTGGGTGAAGCTTGAAGCAGGAGCGGAGGCCTCAATCCATAATGCTCTAAATACAGCAACCTTTGAAGCACCTCTAGCGCCCGAAGTTGAAGGAAGACAGAAACATGGGTTTCCGAAAATAGGGGTACCCTTTTGGGGGGTTCCTATAATGAGGATTATAGTATTTGGAGGTATATTAGGGGTACCCCTATTTTGGGAAACGCCCACATAGAGACACCTCCCAAAACGGGGAATGTCGAACAAGTCTCTCCACGGGCGTTGCGATTGCCGCTGTGAGTTTCGACTGAAGTCATTGCAGACATGCCCTTAGAAAGCTTGCTGTATGTGATCCACTGCGCCCAAATTCCTTATTGCCAGGGAGCCGCAAGCGCTAACTCCTCCGAATCTCAGCCCACAACCCTGGCTAAACTCCCCAAAACCCCTAGGCCCTTAAATCCCTCAACCCGAAGCACTAAACCCTAAACCCGAAACCCGACACCCTAAACCCTAAACCCTAAACCCACCCCTAAACCCTGAAATCCCCAAAACCCGAACCAAGCCGGGGTCGCCATGTTCTGCTGCGGATCCGGCAATGTCGATGACGAGGCCTAGGGATTAGGGATTAGGGACTAGGGTTTAGGGTTTAGGGTTTAGGGTTTAGGGTTTAGGGGGTTTATGGGCTGGAGAAGCCTCTAGGAGCCTCTTTTTGGTGGAGGGGGAGGGGGGTGGTGTACGCTTGGGTTTAGGGTGCAGCAGGTGCATCTGCTGAATCTGGGTCGTTGTTGAAAAAAGTTACATGTTTATGAATACTTGAACCCAAGAAGGAACAAAGATGATCATGCTTAGATAGTAGCCTAACAATGGTGCAGCAATAGGGTTGACTCTGTGTACTTCTCGTTTGCTCTTGTCCACTGTGCCCACCCTGGTCTATCACAGAAGAACCCCTCAGGCCGAGTCACGGGGGTGTCAGCCCCAAAACCTCACATAAATCCCCTCACCCCCCGCCCGCCCCCCCGCCCACACCCACCCAAGAAAAAGCCAAGTCAGCCCTAGACCCTGAACCCTAAACCCTAAACCATTTTTCGCCCTCAACCCTTTTCCCTGCAGGAGGTGCAGCTACGAGGCGGCAAGCACGCAGATAGCGAGCTCGACCGCTGGAAGGCTCATACTTGGAGGTTCATGGTACTTATTAACCAATTATAACTGTACAGGATTTTGGGGTTTAGGGTTCAGGGTTTAGGGTTTTGGGTTTTAGGGTTTACGGTTTAGGGTTTAGGGTAATTGTGCTTATAGCCATATTAGGGCACTTAAGGGGCTTATAAGTGGGTTATAAGTACAGTTGTAATTGGATAATCAGTACCTTGAACCGGCCACTTACTAGGTACATAGGGACTTTATAAGGTATTTAGAGGGTCTATATGGGGAATGAGATTAAGGGTCCCTGCTAATTAGGGGTCCCTCCTTATACACAGTAGCTTAGGGTTCAGGAGGCTTCTACGGGTTTTGGTCTAGGAGGTCTGGGGAAGTTTGCAGGGTTTCTTGGTGTGTCTTGGGAAATGAAATGTAGATCTGCTTGGGGTTGCTTAGGGGTGGCTTCTGGGGTTCAAGGTTGAAGCTTGCTTTTAGGGCCCAGAAGCAAGAACT